CCTCGCGGCTTCCTTACAATTTCTCTCACGCTCGCGCGGGTGACACGATCACCGTGCCGTGTCCCCTCGGTCTCTCTGTATCGGGAGCCTCGTTCCTCCGCAAAAACTCACGAATCCTCCTCGTCTACGTGCCGCTTTTAAATGAGCATCATCTATAAGACGCAATGAGGAATTCCCACGCAGCCGTTGCTACCGCCCTTTTCGGGGTCAACGATCGCTTTAGACGCACGAGCGGGTCATGTGAAGCGATTAGAAGTACCATTGTTCGGTAGACTGGTATTCCGGTAATTTATTTCCAAGAGTATAGAGTTGCCGCATTGTTCGATGAATTAACATAACCGTAATTAATTTACGTGAAGATCGCATTGATTACTTGATATTCTCGCCGTATATACGCATTACATACAAGAAAGTCTCCATGTCAGGATGTTTCTCGGATATAATCCTTAGATGGGAGAGGATCCTTTCACAGCGAGATTTTCTCGATTCTCTCTTGTACATCTTGATATCATCCATCATATCTTTGTATGTGAAAAATTGTATGCGGGAAGTGAGTAAGACGACGTTAGCTCGATTTATGGATTCTCTCACGAATCAAACCCGACTGGTGTTGTCGTAAATTTCAATTATATTCAATCATTGAGTATCTCCCGGTCTCTCTCTCCCCCGCTCAGCCGCCCTCGGATAATTCATTTAAATCTTGTCTGACTGAAGCACTCCCGTTAAACAGCGCGGATGGATCCCAATTGGTGGATCTAATCCGAAGGAGTTAAAGGCGGTCTTTAAGTAATAGTCTTTATCGGCCTCGCGCGCCTAGCAGCATTGTGGCTAACGTTTTATTTATGGAGAACCGTGAGGATGATTACGACGGAGGGCGCTCCTTAACCATAGTGCGACCGCGACGTATGAGAGATTAGTTGCGCCACAAAAACACCTAGTGGTCCGTGTTTCCGTCGGGACCATAAATTCGTTTTGACGTGTCCAGCTCTTTTTCGTCGGGGTGTATGTAACAGGCACTCGATCGAGAGAGAAAAAGAGAGAGAGGGAGGGAGAGAGAGAAAGAAGAGAGCATCGCCGCCTTCTCGTGCACACGACAAAATACCGGACGAAGACAAAGAGAAAAAAAGAAGCGCGGGTTATCTGTGGAGATTATGTACCGTTATGTACCGATCATATCGCGCTGCACTTTCGCGATTATGCAATATCGCCCGAAGAACGTAAGATATTCTTGCGACTTGCGAAGTGCCAAGGATACGAAGTGTCGTTGCACTCGGGGGAGATCTGAGATCTCTTAACTTTCGTTCCAAATGACAAGGATATTTCAATTCTTTTCTATTCGGACATATTAGGAAGGTATATTATAAAAATGATAATTAATAGGGGTGAAAAATCCAAATTAAATTATAATTTGATGATATCACATTATATAAAAATCGAATATTTGTAAAATATGTGATCCATGAAACATACAAAAAAAATCACTTATTTGCAAAATATTTGGTTTCTTTTTTATAAGCGAACGTTCGAGTTTATATACAATACAACACTGCGGTTAGTGTTGCAATTAGTGTAGCAATTGTCGCGTAATAAGTAATAAGTGCGGTCTAGGAACAGGCAGGGGCAGAATTACACGGCGAATCATAATTGCCGGGAACGACGAGGCCCAGGCAATTCGTGCATGTCCCCCTTCCGCGAGACGTGGGGAAACGCGAATCCTTTATAACTCGCCCAATTATCATGGACACGCGAAACTTACCTTCGCCCGGTGACTTTCCTCTGTTTCAGGAGTAACAAGTACCTGCAAAAATCGTCCATCAGCCGCGTGTGCGCGGTCGGAGGTTTCTTCATTAGCATTCCGGTCTTCTTAACTGGTGAGAACGAACCCCTTTCTTCATTTATCGTATCGCTCGAATCTTGTTCTCCGATCCGCGTTCGGAAGGATCCGCGTAATTGCGATTGTTATCCGCGAAAGGCCGTGCAAGTGGAGAGCGTAAGCTTCTGAAACTTCGTTTTATGAAATATTAATATCCTCATGTGTGTGCGTGCGTGTTTCATATATTTTATATATCATCATTATTAATGTGATAATACACAGGGTGTTCCATTTTGAACAGGCCAGCCGAATATCTCGAGCGCTTGCATAAATTCGCGCGCGCATCATTGTTGGTGGAAATTAACGAAAAGTCGCATTTTTCATTGCTAAATAACTCCTAAACTATTGGACTTGGATTATATACGTCTTCGGGATTTTACGCAGAATTGAACAATTTTTTTAAGAATCTGCTACAAAACATACTGTTTTTTATTTAAAAAACAAAGTTGATTTCCATGTGGTTGTAGTTAAAATTCTTGATCACCGTCCTTTTCCCCCTCAAAACCTTATAAATTTTGTCTGAAACATTTTTGTCTGCCGGGATCAGTTTTCGAGATATATGACTGGCCTATTTAAAATAAGACACACTGTATAATGTCGCGCGCGCACGCGTGTGTGTATTTATGAGTATATATGCATAATATATATTCTCATTAATACTATAAATTAAACATATTATCATTATTATATCTTAATTATGACATGTGAGCGGGTATCGAAACTGCCGAGATCGACGTGAATCATTACCTCTCTACACCGAGAAAAGAAATTCTTAAGGATTTACTTGTGGTATATATAAGTTTATCCCTGTGAAGTAAACTTTCAAGTAAATTTTCAAGTATTTTCTTCTCAGTGTACAGATTACCGGGAAAAGATTTCCGACATCTTCCGCCTCTCAGTATCCGCGGAACCTGTGGAGGTCGAGAGGAAGATGTTTGTCTACCCATGTGCAAATTACACATAAATTCATCATAACTCTCATCGCGCACCTGTTGCCTTGATACCCCCCCACGTCAGTAGTTCCGATGCCCTCGCTAACGAGCTAATGATTCCGCGCGTCTCTAATCGCGAGTACTCGCGCTCGCTTGTATCAGCTCTGTCTCGCTGCGATATATTAATTCCGTTCACGTGCGATCCGTAGGCATGATCCTGTACACGTTCATCCAGTTCCACTCGACGCCGGCGATCGTCACGTCGGTCTTCATCGGCCTCGGCATCGTGTTCTGCGGGTGCGCCATGGTCCACAACGTCTTCGTATGGCAGAGAGTGAGTACGCCGCCTGGAAATGCATTTTTTACGTTCACTCTCCTCCGCCCGCTCTCGCCTGGCCTCACTCCTGCTCCTCCGTCCCTCCCTTAAGGCCGGCGGCCTAACGGCGTGCGAATTCTTTCGATCATCGCGATATACGGATCTTCGTCGTAGAGGCAGTCCGCCTCTCTTTATTTTCTCGTATTTCACGAGCCGACGATGCAGCGGACTGCACACATCCCTCCTCTCCCCCGCCCCCTGCCGCCGCTCTGCACTCTTAATCTCCCCCCGCCGTACCTTATTAGCATATCCCGCAACGATCGATGTCATTATCACGCTATTATTTACGTCGGTGATCATTCTACCGTGTAATTCGATTCCAAACTGGATCCGTACGCGCGGGATGTCGTGCGTACTATACACGTGCGTATGTGTGTGTGCATATGTGTGCGTGAGTGCGTGCATGCGTGCGTGCGTGGGTACGCGTGTGCGAGAAGTAGACGGTGGGTGTGAACCGACGTGTTCGCCGCAAGTTTTCAACACGGGGAGAAGGACCGATAGCAGATAAACCTTACGCTCGCGTGATTCCGAGACGATACTTCGCCTCGCGTTGCGTAATTGTATAATTAAGCGGAAGATTTCTGTAACTCAGCCCTCCTCGTCGCCGGCGTCGTCGTCGTCGTCGTCGTCTGCCGATACAACGATAAACTTCGCGGATACTCCGCCGTTACATAAATTGCGCGACGGGGGAGAGAAAGATTCCTCTCTCTCTTTCTCTCCACGTTTCTTCTCGCTTATTTAGTGTCCCCCTCGCAGCCGAGATCTTTCTCTATTATACCTGTATTTAATAAACGGGCTTATCTTTGATCTTAATGGGGATACAGAAAATAAAAAGAGGACCAGCGAGCATTGAACTTCGAGCCGAGTATTCGCGTATGAATACGACGAGGAGGAATGTAAATCATCAGCGGTCTAATCCGCCGGAGATCGTAAGAGTAACTCGTCCGAAAGAATGTTCCTGACGTTCCGTTAGAATTAGACGCATTACCTGCCTTACCTTCATGTTACAATACCGTTAATCGAAAATGCGTTAAGAATCACTCCAACGGCAGTTAGTATTGCCGTTCTCGTCGCGTCCGATACCCGCGCCGTACGTCTCCAACGTCAATGACACTGACCTCCTAATTCCTGTCACGCACGCACGGACGGACGAACGTACAAACGCTCACGCTCACGCTCACGAGACGACACCCGTCCTGTTAGCGCGAATTCCTCAAACACTCTATGTCCCAAGAGAGAGAGAGAGAGAAAGAGAGAGAGAGAGAGAGAGAGAGTGCCGAGCCTCCTCGACATCCTCTCTCGACGGGAGCGAGAAACAGGTAGCCCCGCACGAGAGACCGCCGAATGACCTCACATCTCGTATGATTCGCAGGAGAAGACGAACGCGGTGAAGGCGCTGGCCCGCGAACAGTGCGAGGCGGCCGCGGCGCACTTGCAGCGTCAGCAGCAACTGCAGCTGCAGCACCAGCAGTCGCACCAGCCGGCGCATTCGCAGCACTCGCAACAACACCATCAGCAGCAGCATCATCCGCAACAGCAGCAACATCATCACCACCATCATCAGCAGCTGCAGCTGCGACCGTCGACGCTGTCGACGCTTCACACCGGCACCAAGATCGGCGGCCCGGCGACCACCCATTCGACCGCCAGCCTGGCCCAATCGACTCGCGGCCTGCATCATTATCAGCATCTACATCAGCATCATCATCATCATCAGCGGCACGTGTCCATGTCGCCGCCGTTGCTGCTGTCGTCGCCGCAGGCGTCCTCGCAGCATAACCATTTGAGCCATCGCAGCGGTGGCGGTGGTGGCGTCGTTACCGCCACACCGCCGACGACGCCCGGCGACCGGTCACCGCCGAGTCCTGGCGGTGGTGGCGGCGGCGGCGGCGGCGGCGGCGGCGGCGGCGGCAGCGGCGGAAACGGCGGCGGAGGTGGCAGCGGCAAGCTCAACAGGTCGCAGCACTTGCCGCGCGAGACCAGCGGCAGCGTCAGCCCCGGTCTGCCGACGGCCACGCTCGACCTGAGCAGTGCCGCTACCACCAACAGTCCCCACGAATTGTCCACTCTCGTCTAGAGACGGGATGTCGCGAGTAAACGGGTCTTCGAGAAATCAAGAGCCTACTCGACAGCGTGTCTCTGGCTGATCGAAAAAAGCCTATTAGCGTAAGCCTCGTTAGATTCACGTTGTAAACGTTTGCAGAGACATTGCACACGAAGACGTTCGCCAAGAGTACTAGGCGAAGCCTATAAGAAGTACCGTACTGAAGTAGAGGAGACTCTCTCGGACTCTCTCTCTCTCTTGCTCTCTCTGGAGATCCAGAGTTGACAGTCCGAGAGATCTTCATTTGAGAGTGTGTTAGCGTCAACGACCGCATACAACAGAAATAATCTAAGTCATGAATTCGTGTACTCCAGCCCTCTTGCACTGGCTAAAGCCGGTGTTGATTTATAGGAAGGGACCAAAATGTCGAAAGAAACCGTGAATAATGTACGACGCGATCTCCGGGAAAACGCCGCCCAGAAATCGGAGCGACCTGTTGCCGGGCAATTTATTCGGGGTTCGTGCGCGCACGGTGCGGACTTAGTCCCGGACTTAACCGCGCTTGAACGCGACGCAGTGGTGTGAGTGAGCGCGCGGCGATTAAGGGCCCGAGAGAGAGAAGCGCTTTGCGCCCTTTGTAACGCCCGCAACACGAATCGCCGAAAGCTAAGACGCCGGACCGACGAATTCTCGCGTATATTTTGTTTGATCGCGATTCATAACAGTTACGCATGAATAGAATATTTGATGGGAATTGAATTCAACGACATATCTCGAGCGTATTTTTAGGTGAATCTAACAATTATCGGCCACGCAGCTAATTACGAGGCAAATGCATCTGAAACTGGATCTTCTCGCTAAATTCTTCGTAATTCTCAGTACGGAATACCGTACTGTATGGCTATTGCAAGATGAAGAATGTGAGTTTTAATCTATTCAAAAGAATCTCTAATCTTTGCAAGACCTCTCAGAAAAAAATAGGCTTTATGTAATGTCAAACCTCGTAGCTAAGAGTGTAGAAAAAAAGAAATTGAAAAACTAAAATTAGGTTCAACAAACTCCGATGGTATGCCGCGAGAATGAGACATTAGATATTAAATTTGTGAAATATTAAATCTGCACAAATGAATCGTAACGTTTACGTGTACACGCGCCTAAGATTTTATTTTGTATCGATAGAGTTATTATTCGGTAGTGAGCATTATATCATATCAATGATATAAAGTCACGAATGGCAATGATCCGCGCTGTTGTTGATAAGCCGAGAAGCGTCGTTAAATGTTCTTCGGGCGAGATTTCGTCAGCCGCGCGTCTGTTTATCTCGCAGACTCCGTTTGTTTATCGCGCATATTCCGGCGATTAGCGACGATAAACCTCGCACCACAGTCTTGGAATCTGTACACTCTAAGCCGCTGACCGCCTTTACAAACTTGGGTCATCAACCAACCAGTATTACCCGATGTATGTTCTTCTTCTTCTTTTTCTTCTCTTTCCCGCCGATACGTTCTCGCATAGTCGGAGTCTGTGGTGTCTTGATCCTGCTAGTATTGTAGCTAACATGATTTAATGACTTGTCGGTAGTGTTAGTTCCTGTTGACCTTGACGAGCTACATTCTTTTGCATATCGCTACCAATTACGATTTTCTCAAGCAGGTTTCGCCCCGATCGCCTTTACAGCGCGTTCCGAGGAACCGCGTACATACAGCCGCTGTACATAATATTCTTCGGAGAAATTCCGCCGCGTCGATCTCGCCGAACAAAACTTGCCGATTTACGCTTTTATCCGACACGGCCTGTACACACACACCCCGTGAAATCATCGAGGGCAGCAACAGGTTTCGGTAACCTGTTGCGCACAGTTCCGATGAAAAAATTCCTTCGCATCGAATGTATTTTATACATTATGCGTCTCGTAAATAAATATACATAATAACGTAGTACAATTCTGTCGCAGCGAGCGTGCGACGCCTCTCGTGTTGTATCAGGTGAGATAAAAGCTCGCGCGGTTAATAACGATTCAAGGAAAAGCAATCGTTCGGCGCAAAACCGCGCGAAATTGCATTTCGATGCTTGCCAAGAGCCGCGATTGTCCGTAGAAAAATTGTAATAATCGGGTACAATTTTTTCTTTTTTTTTTTTTTTAAGTAAACTTGAAACAGCGCAGCCAATACTTTCGATGCGTGATAAATCTAGAAGAGACGAGAAATTGGCACGTATGTGAATCTTGCCATGTTTTTTCGATTATTATTAGTATAATGTTAGTATTAGTTGTACTTATCTTGCAAAACCTCTAGTCCTAGGTTACTTTCGTTTACACGGAAGCATAAGACTTTAGAATTCTGGCTATCGCATAATCGTGCCGTTGATTAAGGCGATATACGAAAAGGGAGTGAAGAAAATCTAAAGTGTTGAATAGATTCGTTTCGAGATTAATTCGAAAACACGATGTTTCATATTTGTCTATTATAGATATTGAATGGACTAATTTCCAGAGAAAAAGAGAAATGTATAGGTCCATATTCTGAACTCTCTTTTATTGCTAAAGGCGCCTCTAGGAGTGACTTATAGCCACTCCTAGAGTCAGAAGGCTTATAAACCACTTTTATAGAGGCACTTTTAGCAATAAAAGAAAGTTCAGAACATCGTGTACTTTATCTCGTAAATCGCCTTGCGAGATGCTTGAAATTTGCGAACTCGACACAGTGGCAGAATCAAGTTTATGCCCGCGTAAGGAGGTTTAAATATCTCGATTAAAATTAGGGAATAAAAAAGAAACGGGAGAGAATGAGAAAGAAAGGAGCGGGTAATTAATATGAGATGAGTAGCATATCCTATGTAAGTGAGAAAAACAAAGAGTCTCAAGAACGAGAGCGGGCCTCGAATGCCACTCGATATACCACAAGATATAAATCTGAATGTTCATTAATCTCTTTGCCATCGATCCGTAAAAAAATAATTGGCCGAATGAGTTCGTCAAACTTCGAGCCCTTGAACGAAAAGAAAAAAGAATCTATGCGTTGCATAATTTATGAATTAAATACATGATTACGTTTCCTTTAAACGTAAAACAATCGGTGCGTTTTATAGGCTAAAAGTAACGAGCTATACAGTAAGGGCTGCTATGAATCTAGATTTAAGCATACTTAGAATTAGGTTTATATTTTTATATCATTATATACCGCGGCGCGGGAGTGCTCGCGCAGAGTCGTGAAGGAATATATACTAAAACAAAGGGATCATAGTTGCAGTACGTAAAAATAAGTATAAAATATTTGCGACAGTTGTGCGAGAGCTTTCATCTTCGCTCGTGCACTTTTTTAATATATCGCATTAACTTCAATTATATGTACACATTCAAGGATACATGAAAAAGAAGTTTCACAAAATTCAAGATTAAAAAAAGTATAAAGGGAGTATGTTGAAAATTGAGCGAAACTAGAACCGGGAATTGGTGATTTTATTCGATTCTCCTCATCAAGGCGATTCCAACGATAGATAACTCGGTAATTATAACAGTCAAAATCAATCAATCAGATCATAGAATTGACAGAATAATCTCAATTCTTGAGAAGAGAACCCATATGAGATTTCAGCATTATAATGATTGTACATAGGCAGCAAGTTGATCTCAATCTTGTCTACATCAACATGAAGTCGATGAGCAACAACACAAGTCTCCTTTGTCCTCGTATTATTGACAATTTTTGATAAGCTCAGGACAGCGTTCGGAGTATCTACGATGTGTTTCGATCATCGAAATAACCGCACATCGGACCATTTGAGTCGTAAAAAATAAAAAAATAAAACCAAGTTGGTCGCAATTCGAATTCGCGACCGCATAGACTGCTGATCGATGGCTAGCCACTGCACCGACCACCTTAGGCCCGATTCCATTAATGTCGATCAAGCCTTAAACCGCGTTTAAACTATTTGAAATAAAGACTTAAACTCAGATCAAAGCCCAATCGACGTTGGTGGAATCGGGCCTTAGAGTACCTAACTTCGTTGACCGTTTTGACTATAATAATCACTAAGTTGATCCCACGTGTTTTACTTATTGTTGGAATCATCTCGACGAAAAGAATGAAACTATCAATTCTCGTTTCAATTTTCACTCAGTTTTCAAAATACTTCTTCAGAAAATATACTAATATTCGTTTTCTTGCACACACACACACACACACACACACACACAAACACGTATGTGTGGAGTTTCAACATTAACATTTTATCTTTACATTCTCTCTCTCTATCTCTCTCTTTGTACATGTATATATTTATGCTTACAATATCCACAACATTCGGAATGTAACTTCCTGTATAATTAAAGATGAGAGAAAAAAGGGGAGAGAATACAGAAAACTTCTACCACTTACGGTGTTGTGCGGAACCATGATGGGAATTATGCAACGTAACAGCTTATGTAAGAAGACATTTGATAACCTATGGAGATGTCGTAATGCACTTACATCATGGATTAGTGTGTTTTGCAGGTTTCGAAATTTAATCACGCTATCGACATTTAAGACCCGGAAAATGATTGAGAGTATTTTTACATATCTAAATGTATGGTGTTTTGCAGAAATTCTGTATCGATAGATTACACCTAAATTCGTTTGTAGACATGTAATTTTACATTCTGGCATTCAGCCATCGCCGAACTGCTTCAAAAGAACCCACTGACATTCGCGGTTCATGTCTAGTTTATAAATCGGAGTAAAAAAAAATGGGGACGAGAATAATTGAATACTCGCGCCCTTATGACTATCGAGTCGACACACGAATTGAAAGACGATTCGATTAAGTGTATATGTACATAACGAGAAAATATATCGTAGTGACGTATTCGAACAAAAAGCGCGCGCGCGGACAGAGCAGAAAACTGAAAATATGTAAATTGCGCGTCTAGCGAGATTACATGTAAACACTTCACCGCGTTTGTAAGTAGTGTAGCAATAACGCATCTTGCAAGTAACAGTACATAACTGAATCGAGCGAGTAAGTTATTTGTTGGGTCCACATATAACGCGCATAGTACAAAAGTGTTTTAGCTTTATGTACTGATAATTATGTAATAACACAGTAGATGTATGTCTGGTATGTAATTAATTGAGAAGAAGAAAAATAAATTATTATGAACATATACACACACTACGAGTTCGCATCAATCTGTGCGAGAGGAACGCATTGCGGTTCCAACTCGCCGAATATTAGGCAATATTGTTTTGCGGACAATAATAAAATTGCATTAATATCGTGTGACACTGCATTCAACATTTAATGAAAATAATTGAAATTCCGTTCTATCGGTATGGATTTAAGATGTTCGTCTCTCGCGTCATGACCTCCTGATTAGATTAGAGTCTGCACTAAAAAAAATGCATATTCTCGTATACACGTCGATATTCGACCATATACCATTACATGTAAAACGGAGGATGACATAGCGACTCGCGTTTCAGCGATATACCTCTCAAATAGCGCTCGATAAGCTCTCATTCTTGAGTACCAATATCAGCAGAAAATGGATTTGTTTCTCAAACACGATGCTTAAAGAAACTTATTTCCGAGAAACTCACGAATGAAAAATTTATTTTTTTTGCATTAAAAAACTCTTATTAAACTTCAGTCATACTTTGTGGATAAACATGTTTCTATATAGTATACAATATTTTTTATACAATTTTGTACAATGTATAGATTTTAACAAAAAATATAAACAATAAAAGCCCAAAGAGGCTTTGTCCTTACTTATCGTTCTATGCATAGTGTTGTTAGCTATGCTATGACCGATGCAATTACGTTATCGGAGATTTTTTTCTATGTATGTGTAACTGAATTTTACTAAATACGGAGCTGATTTGAAAGCTGGAGTAGATCAGCCATATTTGACAATTAGATACCTTATAGAACTAACAGTATACTTGTTCGTTATGTCCTAGCGTCGTTAATGGTAGCCGGTACTTGCACTTCGAGACCATCCAGTTCCTTAGTCATTATTATCTGGCATCCCAATCTCGATCTGTAATTGAATATATTCATGCAACTGTGACGAACGATAACAATTTTTACTAGATTTTTACTAGATTTATAGATTAACTAGTACATTTGGCAATGATTCTCATGAAACTTTAGAAAGTAAAAGTTGCCTAATGTAGTCAAAAGAACGGACTGAGACAGTTGATTTAAATAAACAGATTTGAATAACAGATCAGAGAGGTTAGATAGATATTTGGCTTTGATAAGTTTCAAGATAGATTTTATTCCAAGTTTTCTGGTATAGAAGTTACTTTAGATGCAATAGAGATATTATAAAGTAAAATTTGGTTCCTTTTTATTTATGGCTTTTTCATACATAGAAATCTCTTTTTTCTTTCTCAACTAGCAAAAATATAATTTGAATTGATTTTTTAAACTTACGTGTCAGTTGGTTCATATGCCAAGTCCAACATATCCAACTCCTCTTCCGAAGGCTTATTTGGAAGAGTATCGTAAACTTTTTTGGGGAGAATTAAATGACATGTACTACATGTCAATGTTCCTTCACATGCACCTGTATACAAGCAGAATAGCAGTAGTTTATACATTTTGTTACGGAAATATGTAATTATTAAGAGAACAGAAATTATTTGGACAGAGATGAATTTTTCATACCGTAGCCATCTAAATCAACTTCATTATTCACAACAATATCTAAGATACTATCTCCCTCTTTGCCTTTTGCTGTTATTCTCTCTCCATTAGCCCTAACAAATGTTATACTGATTCTGAAAAAAATATGCAACATTTATTTATTTCTATGTTATTTGCTTGTCATATACCTGTCAATATGTTATAATATTAATATAACTGTTGAATAAGAAAATAAAATAAATCCTTTTTAAGAAGCATAGTCTCCAACAAATGTAGCGATAAAATACATTGCACTTTCCCTCCTTGAAACTAGAATGCATCTCTCAAATGAGAAAGGTGCTAAAATAGTTAACAGTTCTGACAATTCTACTAATTGTTTTAGCACTATGCTTTGCTAAAAGAAATAGAAAATGTGTAGTTCAGTCAAAAAAAAGAAGCGATATAAAAGAAAAACTTTTTGTGAAGACTATAAATTCACAGAACACCAAAAATACATGATAAACTAAAATTTCATAGATTTATTAATTGAACATGTCGGGTTGGAAATCTTGCATATTGTTAAGTGTGCGAGTGTTTAATTTTTCTTTTAGGAAAAACGAAGAGGAAGCAACGTGTAGCACGCTGATCTAGGATTTTTCTACTCACTCTTTCTTCTCGAAGAGTGGCTGCGTGGTGGAAGTAATTTTTGCGAGGGATTGCCGATTAGCCTTGAACTTAACGCAATTTGAACCAAGAGCGTGGAGCATCGATCTGGACAGTCCTTGCAGTCTTTGCATAAACGCCATTTCTTGTTGACGAACGTCGATGTACCCTGCTCGATGTACTCGCGTTAGGGTATCAGGAGGGAATGTATCGTGGTGACGGACCGACGAGGTCGCGTGGTTCAACAAGGAAACTCGACCGTGCTACGTCAGAACGCACTGCCTCATAATAATGCATGTACATAGGAACGATTTTGCAATTGTCCGTAATGCACTGCGATAATAATGGGTAACAACGGGGCTTGTTAAAGATAACTGGTTTTTGCGTAGCGACTTGCGAAACGACGGCTTACGAAACACACGAATGAGCGAGGACGGTCGCACTTTCTCCCCCTCGATCGTACGAGTCACGCGGCTGCTCGGCGACTGAGGTGATACGTCCGCGGCACCTCTGAATAAGAGAACGATGAAGGCGAACCTCATCGTTCTCGGGCGTGTGTCAGCGCACCAGGTAGAAGCGGGGGACACGAGTGGAGGCTCTCGAGATTCCGTTGTCGGCCGTAACGCGTGCGCGGAAACAGAGAATTAAAACGGAGCAAACATAGCCTATCGTTAGCGCACGTTGTTGTTTATTATGTATACAGGGACGTGAGTGTGTGCTTGTGTATCGTATACTTTTGATAATAACAGTGCGAAATCACTATCGTAATGTTTGCGTTAATGGGAGAGTTGAATCTCTGGACTTTCGACGATAATGTAAACATAAAAGATACGGATTTCGGTGGATTCAAGTAAGGAAATTTGTCGTTTGACATAAACGAGCTTCTTGTTCTTTTTTGTAAATGTATCCCGTTATGGTACTGCAAGTCTAATCACTCTGATACTTTCAGATATCATGACAAACGGATCAGTGGCACGTATCAAGAAGGCAAGAGATCCTATTGTGAAAAGCGCGATATGATTTATGTGCCAGTTAACAAGAAGGGAAACAGATTAAAGGATTATATGAAGTACTTGGAGGTACAACAACTTGTTTTGAACAAATTTTATGGGATATCTTGTAATTTTATTTCATCTGTAGGATCAGCTCAAAGACAATTCTATAATTTATTGTCAATGGTACAGTGACCGGATTGCACAAATAATGTTTAACAATGGTTTATTGGTGCACATACAAATTTATCCCTTCAGTGGTGACATAGAGAAAATTAATTTTGACAAATATCTCGTGGGAAAATTGTCGGAACATGCATCAGATGGTAATCCTTCGTTTTATTTATTAAGCTGTCCATGAAAAATTATGTATTTTTACTTCATTTACAGTGATAATTACTAAAAGTCACATAGTTTGTACATACAATGATAATGAAGTCACAGTAGTATATTTGACAAAACCAAAAAGTCATGTGTTCGACAGTATTAGTAAGTTGGAACCCAAATTGATCACAACAGATGTGTTTGTACCCAATGGACGTAAGTTGGATAAGAAAGTTCAAGTGAACAAGTCAGAAGATCTGGTAAATAATATCTTAAATAGTTCTTACAAATCATAAATAAAAGTTTCATTTGCCAGTTAGTCTCTAAAAACAATTCTGTTTTTGCAGATATTAATTTGGTGGAAATCCACAATGAATGAAGTTTATCCGTGGAGTCCTGCTATGAGAGAATATCATCGTGCAAATATGCATCTCTTTCGCCTCACAGGGTATAAATTAAGAAATATAATTTGTTCTTTTAATCTTCTTCATTCTTCTTAACATTTATACAAAAATCTGGATCTTGTTCTAAATCTGAATGTTGATTTGAATGTTGATCTATATCTGAATGTTGTACTGAATGTTGATCTACATCTGAATGTTGATCTATATCTGAATGTTGTACTGAATATTGATCTATATCTGAATGTTGTCTTAATTCTTGTATCTTATCTGTTTGATCTGTCTTTACTGTCTTATCTGTCTTTGACTTGATTTCTTTTCTTATTTCTGTCTTTTTCTTTGGTTGCTTCATCTCTTTACACAGATCTTCATGTTTCTTCTTATGCAATTCCCATATTTCTTTCTTGTATTGAGGTGTTGCTGATAATTCTTCTGCTATGCTTCTAGTAATCCTTTTTGGCAAATCCCACGTACTCTAATATCATAATAATATTCATTATTAAAATTTTCATATATTTTGTAGAAAAGCTTAAATAGAGAAAATAGTGACTGCTTCTTGAAGATAGAAAAAGTAACTTGTATGCATGCGTAATTGCGTTTGTAATGGCGACTAAAGCAAACCTTATATGTTCCCCATGATGAGCATTTAGCTTTTCTAGTGCTGTCCAATATATGTCCATTGTCATTTGTGATAAATTTTGTAGCGCCACAATGTCTGTCTGGCCAACTAGGGTACCATTTAGACACTTCCCAATTTCGCAATCTTTTCGCAGTGAACGTTTCTTCCGTCCAATGGCCATGCCAATGCTGGGACATCCTTTTGCGGTTCTCTTATGACTTTAACACGCACAGATTTCAGTCTTTTCCACTTGCTATAATAACATAATTCTCTCTAAGGTACGTGCCGAATACGGTTACATATCTTCCTGGTCGTTGCTATGGTCACGTAAACAACTAATCGATCACCCGTGCGCCAGAGCACTGTGCCGATCTAGTGATTTAAATTTTCAGAACGAAATTAGAATCGTTGTGTTACATACGCACTGAGTTTGATCCCTTGTGTATTACGTTTGATGCATGCGATGACAATATTATTCATTCAGTAGAACAGAAAGTTTCGAGAAAGGTAAGTGGCGTATCGTTGTTATCGCTGCTCACTCACTACCATATATATTATAAAATGTTTGTTACGAGCTCAAACCACTATGAAGGATACGTATGTCCGATATAGGGAGAAGTCACCGTAGAATGGCGTACTTACGAGGTCTCCCAGCAGAACAAATTACAGAGAATCGCCGTGATTTCCGTGCCGTTACCGACGCACACAAGTTGCGTGAAATTTTCGCCCAACCAGGAATTATTGTTACTGTGTTGCATCGACGGCACCATCACGATGTACGATCCGACGAAGGCGATGACCACGAGCGCCAGAGCAGCCTTCGTAAGTTCAGTACGACGTCGGTGATTTTGCGACCGAATAACTGCAAGCTGACAATTGACGAATCCTTCGTGCCATTTAAGATACCCACTTTAGCCGCTTGGCACAGCGACGGCATGATATTCGTGCTGGGCAATGACAGAGGCCAGCTGCAACATTTCAACATCGCTCTGCAGTGCATCAAAAGCCAGACGCTGAGCGACGAAGCGACTCCCGCCAACATTCTCGACCTGTCGCCGTATTTCAGGTATAAGTAGCGAAATCATTAATCTTACTTTCTGTATTAATAACATTCACGTGTATAATTGAGTAATTTTGCAACACAGGAATCAGCCTGCTTTGATACATATGGAATGGAACAAGAAGAACGACCCGAATTACGTCGGCTTCTACAACAATGGAAATTCTTTGTTCCTGTTGCTGTTCGAACGGTAAGAAACGGCGACACGGAGCGCGCATTGTACGAATTTCATACGATTCGTTATGCGTTAACAGAGGACCGATCGGCGTCCTCAAAGTGATCGAAGGCGACAGTCTCACCGGCGATGAACTAGTCCGAAGATACTTGTCCGGATGTCAAATAAAACAGGCGACTTACTTGCTGCTGTCGATGAACTGGGATACGCATCCACGCGCGTGCATGCACTCACTTAATCAAATCTTAAATTATTTATTCAAGTTACCATTAACAACGAACCACGACGGTATGATGAAATTGTTATCATCTAGTGATCGTGATTTAATAGTTTGTTAATAAACGACGAGAGTAATAACTATCTATCCATTAGGTCTGATACAAAACGCGCTGGGCAGTTTCCACGTGCCTGCTAGACCAATAAGCCAAGCTGTCGAGGAGGAGTATGGGAACGAGGTGCGAGACTTGACGAGGCGATATTTCCATCGTTTACTGAGGTAATCATGTGATTCCGATTTGACGAGAGGTCAAATTTATTCGAACGAATGAAAATGTTGTAGATGCAGGATGTTTGAGAAGGCTTTCCGGCTGGCGATCGATCTGAACGATCACGATCTTTTCATGGACATACATTTCTCAGCCGTGGCATTGAACGATATGGAACTGGCGATTGCTGCCAAGGAGAGAGCCGAGAACATTTTAAGCAGATCGAACAGCCGTCGAAGCTCGCGTAAGTACAGATGGAAAGATACTTAATTAGAGTGTCTGAAAACGATGGTATACCTCAAACTATATCTGTAGATTCGACGTGCTCAAGAGCATCGTGTTCCTTATGCTCTGATTCGAGCGACGAGAAGGACGAGGAGGAGGAGGAAGAAGAGGAAACGTATAGCGAAGAGAGCGGGGATTCTCGAAAGCAAGAACGGGCAGGATTGAAACAATCAAAGAGACACAATTACAGAAAAGTCGGCAGCAATCAAATTCCACCTTTACCTATTGTTAATCCTCATCGCGATCTGGAGAATAGTCTCCCCGCACCCTACACCGACATCCCGTCCAGCAACAAGAGCGACTACAACCTGATGCCTGCGTCCTTCGATGCTCCCAGCAGTGGCATCTTAACGACAGCTGCGTTCAATCACTCGTCGCCGATGTCGATTTCGAGTTCGTTTCTCGCGTCGACTTCCTTCAACAAGCCATTGTATAAGACACATTCGAACTTTTCCAGCAGCGCCAACACTACAAACATTATCGACAGCTCTTCGGCCTTCAACAATGCGTCAGACGACTTGATGACTACGTCGTTCGGCAGTCTATCTCTTACCGAGTCGGAGGTGACGGTCGACAATCAGCCCGCCGAAACCTTCGGCGAGACTTCGTATGATAAGCCGTCGTTGCTCAACGAAATACCGTATTCCTTCAACGGCGCTTCTGCCAATATGGTGACTGCCTGCGCGCAAGGGGACAGCTTCGTCTCGACTGCGTTCAATAAGCCTGTGTACGAGTCCGAAGACACTCGACCTGAATATCCATCGAGTTCTTTGGACACCATTGACAGTAACATCATGTCCACATCGTTTAGCACTCGTGTCCCGAGTACTCTCATTTCCCATAATAATCCTTTTAACGTGCTCACGGCAAATAGCAAATCTGAGACGACTTGTCCCATGTCGCGGAACGCGAAGTCTTCCTCTGAGTTGTCGGACAATACGGCATCGAGGACTCTCACGGAAGTTCTCACTACGAGCAAGTCGTCGTCCTCGTCGTCGTCGTCTATTCTGTATGGTACCTGCAACAATCTGATGTCTACTTCATTCAACTATCCTGAGGCCGACGTGGCGTCCATAAACGACACGTATATCGACGCATTCAACAGCGGTAACAATCAAGCAGTTAAACTGCAACATCCCATAGCCGAGAAGAAAGAGACAGTATTCAACATTCCACCACCGCCACCATCGCTGACGAGTTCTCGCACGAATTACCTGCACGGTCTGCCAAGGAAAAATTATCCCTTGTCCAGGAGCAGTCCAGGTCTAACGAGCGATATCGACGACTCGGTTCACAAGTTTTCGTCGTACAAGACGCATATGCCGCTGTCGTCGCGCATTCTGCAAAGGCAAAACTCCACGACCAACATCCCGCAAAATCAGAAAATTCCTTCCAGAATCTACAGATACAACTACGACCTAGACTACGTGCCCTTTCACCACGGCGCCACTACCTGCGACGATGCGGACTCGCAACGTTCGCCGCAAACAGTCGCAGCCGGCAGCAGGAAGTTCGATCCCCTGCAAAATTTACAGTCCAGCTACAGTGTACAACGTAGGCTGCTCGAGAGCAGGCATCTGTCGAGATCCTCGCAAAGCAACGTGAGCATTAATGCGAGTAAAGAGGTCAAGATGTCTTGCAACGTGCCGCCTTTGCCGGTGATTAACACATCTATGGCGAAGATCTACGCCGCGTGTCCTTCATTCAGTTGTAACACGCCAGTGAGCTCTAATGAAAAACCTAAAGTGAAGTTCTCAGATACCGTCACTCATATCTTGGTGCCTCCTAGTGCGGTAAGTGATCATTGAATAGAGATGATAAGAAAATATAACTTCTATCTCTTATAATTATACTCTCACATATAAGCAATCAAATATTTTAAAATGAAATATATTCAGAAGTTTATAGACAAAGCTTTCATTTTTTTAATAAATGATGTGATAAAATGAATACCTTATGCTATGACACACACTAAGAACACAAATAACACACTAAGAAAATACTGTTTATATACTACATTGCTCAAGTAAAAACAGACAAAAATAAGAATTTTATAGATACTTGATTACTTTATTATGTGAGTACCTTGTGGCATCCCTGATATATTTTTCATATCTTTCATATTTCGTTATTTGTGTATAAATTATTTTTAATGTTATTAATATTCTCACATGGTCAGGTACACAGGCAAAAGCGACCACCTGTACAAACGCATTTGACAGATCATAAACGTGAATTGGCTGAAAGTCTTCCACTGGGTCTGAGTAATGAGGATTACCTGAAAGATCTCCCATCGTTGTCTAGTAAGTGCTTAATTATGACGTTTGTATTAATATATCAAATCGTGCTGATATATTAAAAAACATTATGATTCGCATTAGTTATTAAGGCTTAATGTTTTGCAGAGGACGATACGGACGAGAAAATGAGGGAATCTCCGAAATCTGATGACAGTACAAAGATCAAAGTTGTACATTTTGGTCTATTATAACACCAAGATGTCAAGAGACACAATAAGACTGCATCGTAAAATAGTTTGTACGGATATTTTTATAACTCCTTTGCACATATTTTATAATCTCTGCAAGATTAATAAAAAAAGACAAGAATTTCTTTTAACGATTAATTCGGTCGCATTTATTCCTAAGTTTGTACATTATCAATTGTAACAAAGTATACTTAAACTATTTGTGTAATGTTTCCAATGAAGACTTCAAGTCTAGCAGTTGTTTGTCTGGGATGTATCGTTTCTTTTCTAGCATGGGATCAAAAGCGTCTACACATAAAAAAACACCCTGTGGTAGAGTGGCTTCCAATATTCTGATTAATATCGAATACTTTAGAGCAGGTATTTCTGACACTTGAATATTCCTTTGGTAAAGTTTGAGATTATATTCAGCTGCCACCACTGACATTTTAGTTTTATATCTTTGTATCTTGAATTCCTCGTGTGGTAATGCCCAACTGGAAAAATGAGGATCATATGAGAATCCAATTGAGAAGAAAATCTGGATGAAAGATTAACATTACTTTGAGCTAGATTAAGATTACCTGTCATCAATGTCAATCTGTACGGTATCAGCCAATTTATATATGAATTTTTGGTAACTTTCGAGTACAGGATAGTCATAACTCTTGATTTGTATATTTAACATAGGAAATAGTGGAAACTTTGATTTTCCTGTCTACAAAAATCGAAAAGCCAACGAAATGTTAAATGTATCTAAAGTAAGTAGAATAAAAATTTTGACCAATTAAAGTCAATATGAAGAAGGGCCAAGCACAGATGTTATAATATTATGATCAATTATATTTATTTATTATTAGATATATCGATGTAATTTATTTGTTTGTTATTATTATTATATGAGTCAAAATCTGAAATAACTCTAAAAATTATCTGCAAGTCTAACCTCTAAATAATCCGGCTCGTATAATTTGGAGAATCTTGCATATAAATTATTTCTTACGAATGATCGTTGTGCAAGTACTGTAATCTGCAAATAAAAAAGAATTTACTTTGATCCATTATGATGTTCCATTATTTTTATTTAAAAAATAATATCTTTATTATGACATTATAGAAACACTTACCTGTTTAATTAGATTTAATGCCATTGTTCGTGACGTAAAATTGATTCACGATTTCTAAATGGGTTTTAATTCATAAGTATGTTTTAAATTACACTGTAGAATGATTCCTATAAAAGTTTGTTACAGTTGACCAGCTGATTGTTCCTCAGGAACTGAGATCTACTGTCAGCATCCGCAAAATTTTCAAGCTCTGCCGTATAAATAAAAGATCACATACTTTATCACGTTTGAAAACCTAAATCTTTTTCTTTAATATCAGCTGTGAGATTCTTTTTAACCGAGTTATTCGATGTTAAAAATGACATTTTGCTTTCATTATTCATAAATTGGCGAACGAATCAATAATCGGACGTTTGCTAAGTAATGAATAAAAAGCTTAAAGCTTTCTTTTTAAAATATATTTATCACATTTCCGATACAAATAAATTTTTAGTGCAAAATTTCATTTGAAATATTATCAATGTTCAATATATGGGAAAAATACATTCTATCCACTGTTGAATCTATTAGAATCCATTTGAAGCTACAAATGCTTTGGAGCGTGTAAAGACAATTACAATTGGTCTATATGGCACATCGAAGCATTTACAGTGTCAAGTGGATTGTATATACATCGGAGCATGTTAATTGAGAACCGATTATTCCAGTCTGGTAAATGGCGTTGAAGTATTATAGCATGTTCGACTGGCTCTAGGTTAACCCACTCTGGGTTATTCAGCCTACATTTATTGGTCAAACAAGTACTTATAAGCTTTATGATTGGATAGTAGAGACTTATGACGTCATTAATCGCTCTCGGAGCGATAACCCAGGGCCAGTCGAACACGCTATTAAATTACCGAAAGCCACATAATAAGCTGCGTTCAGATTCCTCATCCGGGGGTGCATTCTATTACTAAAAACACTATAATATATGTAACATATACTATAGCACTTCTAGTATTAGAGCACACCCGGGTAGAGAATCTGAACACACCCTTCGAGGAAGGATTGTTCCAATTTCTTGGGCTGCGTTCCAAAATTCTACTCGACGAGTAGAGTAGTAGCATTTAATTGACCAATAAAAACAAAGATAACTAGGATTTCTTTATCATGATTGGTCAATTAAATGTATTCTACTCTCAGTACTATGTACTGAGTAGAATTTTGGAACGCAGCATTGGTAAACTACTTAATACTCATATTAGACTGTAGATTGACTATAGATTGACTGGAGACTGAGCCCCATATTCTGAATTCTCTTTTATCTATAAAAGTGCCTCTAAAAGAGGTTTAGGAGCCACCTGATTAGCTGAGAAGTTACATTCAAGGCACTTTTATCGATAAAAGAGGATTCAGAATATGAGCCTGAGGATTGCGGATTGAAGATTGGAACTTGATCAATTACAACAAAACAAGTCAAAATCGTACGACAAGCTTGTCGGACACTAATTGGCTGTCGAATAGAGAATTTCTGGGGTATATGGAAGAAAAGTTAGGGATCTTAGGAAAATTCTGTCCATTAACTAATCGACACGTCCGACAATATTTGTACGACATATATAATATTAGCCTACGACTACTTAAATATAAAATCCAACTAACGAATACCGCTCTCAGGCTCAAATCATTTTGGCGTGGTCCAAACTTAATTAATTTCAATTACAACAGTACGACTTTCAGCATTTGTCGAAGTGTACTTTCGTGATTATGGAAAATATAATTAATAGTAATAATATTAAAAAAGAGCAACTACGATGTTTCGTTTGCGAAACTGACATTCAGGGACGCTATTATTATCTGGCTACATGCAGAACGCAAAGTTCGCGATCGAGGGTGATCGAAAAACTCGGGGAGTTAGTCGGCGAAAGGTTATGGATTGTTTTATCAATAATTTATATATAAACATTTCGAGAGACTATTTTTGAATATTTGTACGAGATAACCGAGTGTTGACGAATTATTTCGTTATTTTCTGTCGCACAGATATATGGTTGTGATATCTGAGGACGACGTGATCTGCCGTAGTTGCGCCAATCATATTAACACTCTCGACAGGCTAGAAGTGGAAACGCGTAACGTACGAAGTTACATTTTAAGATTTTTAGAGCGGAAATATTGTCTGGAAAAGGGTGAGCTTCTAGACAATAGCGATAGACCAAGACCAAGTCAACCACCACAGATCACAAAGTGCAACTCCACAGAAATTATCAGTAGTTGCATCAAACAAAGCAAAGTTGATTCCGAAATATACTCACATACTAGAAATCAACAACAACAGCAGCAGCTGAAGCAGTCCCACTTGCTGGAATGCGACAAGTGTAAATACACCACACATATCAACTCATTTATGATGTATCACATAAATGATCACATAAAGCAAAAGGAATTCTATGATAAATGTGGACTATATATTCCTGGAAGTCAGGAGGAAATATTACACAGTTGTAGGACAATTGTAGAACAACCAGGAAGCAATTATAACAAAGGTTGAATCTTAGGAGAAGATGAAATCATGTGTTAACTGCCAGATCTAGTCCTTGATTTCCATAATACTATTAATAACTTACAGATAATTCAGAGATTACTGGTGAGGACTTGATAGATGTGTCACTTTTTCACAAGGTAACACGACAACTTCTACCAGTTCAAATAACTCAGACTACTTCATCCCCTCTGACTGATGCATCGAGTTGTGAATATATTTCCAGTGCATTGTTGCCAGGTGAGAAAGACAAACTCGCGCTGTAATTGCTGCGAGTATATTTTAAGCAACAACATTTTTGTTGTAGAAAACAATTTTCCTACATCCTCCAAGCAAATCCCCTCCTTTCATCCTGTGGAAATAGGCAATATTGTAATGGACGTCTCAAGTGGAAAAATGACGAGAATATCGGAGAAAACATAAGAGAAAATAAGAAACAAAAACGATCGTAGATCGAATAATATTTCATTTCAATTCAAGTTACAAATGTTACCAGTATCTTGTTCAAGTTTTAATATTTTATATTACGATTGCGTAATATGATTAATCATATCGCAGCACCATGTAAAAGATTGTCAACATATTTTTATCATGTAAAATCATTTCTGTTCGTGACGGGAAGTTTTTCAGTAGAAAGTCTATGGTATATGCAGGTGTCGGTAAGCATTCTTATGAGAATGTTTATCGACAGAAGAGGGCGACTGCGTTCCCGCTGATGCGTATTTTTCCGCTGATCGAATATGAATCTGAATTTAGTAACATTCGCGGCGTGATGTTGCCGTTACTGTTCGTTTGAAATAATGCAAACGGATTTGGAGGCAACACAGGACAGGTTGAGCTGGTTGCAAGTGTGTCACAGACGTTTTACTTGAATTTCTTTGCTCGCGAGTGCAATGGATATCGAGGTACTCAAATGCAGCATACTGGAAGTGCTAGAGAATGATAAGAGCACAGTTCTGCAGGAGTGGATATCCTCATGTCAAAAATTTCGATCGCACGTTATTGCTAAGAACGAGGAAAGGTTGTTGCTTGAGGCAGGTAAGTGTTTTGGATTTTCTAGCTCAAGTAATCCGACATTTTTGTGTTTTAACACAAGCAGGCTTGTGTAAAGACATATCCTGTTGGCACGAATGATGATAATATTAGTTTCGGGTTTTATTTTGCAGATGACACCAAGAAGAAATCTGTCAACACAGAAAAGATATCGGAGCTGCAACAAGAAATCCATACAGTTAAGTCTAATATAGACAGTGTTGTGTTAGAACAAAAGATAGTAGATAAAAAGATGTTTAATTCCACAAAGTTACAAGAGAATTTAAAGAGTGAATCAGATAAGACTAAAGCTGAATGGGAAGCTTTGATGTTAGAGATAATGGACTTGGAGATAGGTAAGTGCATACCTGAATCAAACTCCTTATGCTCTTTATTTTTTGATTGAGTCTGTTCTTATCGTTATCGTTGCTTGAATGTAATTTCAGAAGTAGATGAGAGGAAAAAGAAGAAGATTTTGCAATGGGACGCTATTAGGCGTGCGTGTAACATTTACAAAGTGAACTTGGATATACATATAAGTCTTCAGGAGGAGAAAGGCTGTCAAAATATAAAATTTTCCTTCTTTACTTACAACAAAGACAAACAGGATATGTATTTTGTGCAATTATCGTGCAGCCAAGATCACTGGAAAAGTATGCAATATTAGAAATTGTAATATAAGAGATATAGCTAATGATATAAATGTTACAATCATATTGTTTCAGTTGAACAAACTGAGCCCAAGATAAAGAAAGAATATCTCAATCAGCTAAGCTCCATCACAGATCTGCCTGAATATTCCAAAGTGTCAAACATCACATTGTTTTTATGTCAGGTGCGAAATATATATTTAGAACATTATATGAAAACGAGAAAAAAATTGTAGAACGATTCCAAGCTATGATTAGCGACGATGGTGTAATCTTTCAAAGTACATATTTTATCAGAAACAACATTCTTATTCTATATCCCTCCTTACGAGAGTAGTCTTTATTAATAAAAGTTGTGACGTCTATACTACAATAAAAGTTATACATATTAGATATGTAACATACCACACACGTCGCTACCTAAATATCGGCACAATTTTTCATTCGATCGTACTGTCGTTCGCCGTTGTCACGATATATTCTTTTCTTTTTTTCCTCATTTAGTTTTCCTAGTTTGTGTAGTTTTTATCATAAGAATTTCTTACGATCTTTCGGGACTTCGGGTGTAAAGATAATCGGAGAAAAGGGATCGATTTGCGAATCACAGTGCGGATAAATAACTTAGATACTAAAATTATAAACAGGTCTCTGCTTTGTCTTTTTATAAGTATATATATATGTACATATACATATGTATAAATGGTACCTACCGTACGTAATAGCGCTTGCAGACATCGCGAGAGATTCATTTATAAGCAAGACCAATACGACGTGTGGAACTCTCGAACTGACATTTTGATCATTTTCCGCGATATGTGTTTTGTAGTATGAGCGAACACTCGCTCACTCGCTCGCTCTCATCAAGTGCGCGTTGTTAGCCGATATCGTAATACTTAATCATTTCCTTCGCGGTTTTCGCGATGTCCTCGACGCAGGATTTCCTCCGTTATTAAAATACTTAACAGATAAATTATTTTGATTCTGAGTTCTAGCTAATTAAGCTAGCAGTCGTATTATTGGCTGCCTTTCTGCAATATATGTACGTTTAAAGAGAATCAGGCGGAAGAAATTACTTCACGATCCTGCGATTTTATAGATCGACGATTAGCGGTTAGTGCGAGCTAATAATTACGGATTTTCAACTTGAGGAGAGCAACGTATTCTCTCTCTCTCTCTCTCTCTCTCTCTCTCCCCTTTCCCTCTCTCCCTCCCTCTCTTTCTTGTACGCGCACGCCGCTTTTTTCCGCGAATCTTCTGCGAATTATCACGCGTTCACCTTAATCGTTCATACCTGCATGAGCATGGGCTTCCTCGCGCGTTTGCGCACAGAAACGGGCCGATCTATTATGTATGCGCGGAGGCACGCTGATAACAATTCGCCCCTATTGGCACGAGTTAACGGAGGAGTCAATTGATCGCCCACTGCCAATCTGCCCGTGCCACGGCATAAGTTAACAGATTTCATTTGCTCCATTGACCCGCCGGGAATCCATTTACATATACACACGTCCATCGAAGGAATTCGATCGAGGACCGAAATCTACTCGGCGAATTATTCGCACACAGTGGAACATCGTGCGGCCAGCCGGAGATCTGACGAGTGTCTCGCTGAGAGCGACGTCGCGAGGATGCTTCGCGAAAAGACACACGACGACGAGGCGAGTATGAAACATGAGTTGATCGGCGGGCCGGCGTCGCGAGTTCCGCGAACGAGCTGACGGTGTTCCGTTCGAGAAACGCACGAACACGTCGCCAATTATATTTCCTATTCCTTATCCATGCGATGTATGTATGTATGTGCGTGTGACGAGAAAGAACACTAAATTAAAGACTGCTTACCACGTATGCGAATGGGCATAGCGAACTTTCCGCTGATAGAGACTATTTACAATGTATAAAGGAGCGCGCAAGGGTCTCGTCCATCGCACTCGAGTTTCCCCGAGGGCGGATACTTGGAGTGCCGAGCCCTTGTTACATTCACGCACGATATACACGCGATACGTACTAGTGTGGGTGTCTAGAGAGACGGCATGTCGCACTGTCGACGATCGTTCCTTTCGCGCTTAGGTGGATCTCTTCCTCTTTTCTCTTCGCATATCCCTCTCGTGACGAAAACAACAACGCGTGATGATGCGTCGCCGATTTCTCCCAGCCGAATCCTCGCCACGATCCTTCCACGCGGTCTTCTGCAAGAACGAACAAACAAACGAGCCGCGAGCTCTCTCCGACTTGCTTCGCCGCGAATTTCTCTTCTACTTCTCCTGCCTCCTCAGTTTTCTCTGTCTCTTTCCCTTTGCTTCAGTGTCTTCTCATTCCGCGTTCGTCGATGTGATTGTTCGCGCGACTATTCTCGAAGGGGGACCACCACCGGGGGGGTCGCGACGCACAACCCCCTACTCGAGGGTGGCGGCGAAGGACACGTTGCCGCCAGATGCGGCCGCCGCGGCCGCCGCAGCGGCCAACAGCAGCGTTGGCGGTAACGGCGCCGGCGGCATCACCGACGTCAACTCGACCGTCGGCGCCGATGTCGTCGTGGTTGGGCAATCGCTGCCGATCCCATAAACCTTGGCGTGATTTACTTCGAGCGCGACGGTCAGGTCGGCCAGGCCGGCATCGCACAGCACGGGATTATCTGCGGGCAACAAAGCGCTATTTTGTACGTGTGTATGTAATAAGGGTCTGGTTGTTGGATACGATACGAGAGAGGAGGAAGAAGATAGGAGGGATGGAATGAGAAAAACTTACGCGAGGGAGAGCCTCTCCTCGTTGCAGCCCTAAATTAGCGAGTCATGATCGGCAATGTGTTGATCACAATTATTTTTACGTGAATTATCGTGAAAAATTTATCATAAAGACGTGCGGGATTAATGGCGACGTGGCGCCAGCCGCGATAACGAAGATTAGCCGTTTGTTAGTGCCGTTATATGTCGTTTTGAAACGGCAACAAATCGCCGTTCGCACGGCCGGCGAATTTTTCGCCGATTCCGAGTCGCGCTCCCGGCTACGACAGTCCAGGGAGCAGCTTTCCCAACGTGAGCGAGGAAGAGAAAGAGAGTGTCCGATTACGAGACTCGAGACCGGCCGCGGAAGATAACGGGATTGGGCGCGATAATGTGCTCTCGCGAAGACGATATTAACAATAATAACAGCTCAACTCCAAAGCTCAGAGAGAGACAAAAAGAGAGAGAGACTCCAGTATACAATAAATAATTCGAGATGGCGCCACAGCGAGGGTTATCGCAAGAAATGTAACAAATAATATGCGCCTCCAGAACCAAACTGAGACTAACCATTATCAGCGAGTAATTTATTTTCTGTCTCTCTCCGCCTCCATTCCGCCTCTTACGAGCCGCCCGATCGCTCTCTTCGCCTTCCTTTCCCTCTTTCCCTCTCTCTCTATTTTGCTTGCTCTCTCTCTCTCTCTCTCTCTCTCACTCTCACTCACACACTCACTCATTTCGCTCGTTTTCCTCCTATTTGTCTGTCCACGTTAGACTTTACAAGCAGTGTTTATTAATTATGCGATGCCGCTGCACCGCGCCAAGTCGAGTCGTGTCGTGTCTCGTATCGTATTTCTATTCTCTTCGATTAACGTCTAACGACCTAATTGAGTTTAATCGTGTGCCGATTACTGTGAATAATATTTAGCGGACGAAATCCGCTGGGAATGACGGAAGCACGTGGGACGAGAGACGAACGTCGTCAGATTCCGAGGAGATATCGAGTTTAGATGAAAATCATTCCGGTAGTAATAACATCGAGCAGAGATTTTTTTCAGATGTCGCGTTTTCTCTGATTTTTTTTCGTTCGATGTAGAAGAAGCACAACGAAGACTCGAACGAAGACGATTGTTTCAAAGCGGACTTGGGATCTGTTACGTCGCTAACTATCGTGTCACCAAGCAGAGGCTCTTCTATAGGAATCAGAGTCTCTTCTACGACAGTTAACTCGATTACCGTTCGCTTATACAGAGTCTCTCGCACGTTGTGCAGATGTACGATAGATAACGTACAGCGTGTATTCGTCTTCCTCTTGTCGACGCAATATTACAATCAAAAATAAGCCGATTAACATTTTCGTTTTCGAAAGTCGTTTCACGTGGCATTACCGGAACGTATCCCGTGTACATTTCGGACGGAGAAAAAGAGTAGAATATTATCATTTCTCGCGCGCAATTGGTTTTCAAAATTCAAATCAATTTTATTCATGCTTCAGCTAACAGCCAAGAAGTAAAGATTTGGTTTACAATTTATACTTTAACTCACACACCCTTTTCACGCATACATTCATGCTATCATTCGCTTCTGTCTAACACTATCTAATCTTATCTAAGTTCTTCTAGCTCTACTTAACTCCAGCTTTCTTCTTTATATCTTCTCCTCCTATTATATCTTCTCTTTCCTTTATATCTTCTCTTTCCAACTTCTTATCCTTTCTCCATTTTTCCTCTCTTTCTTTTTCTTTCTTTGCTTTTTCTTTTTCATTCCATAATAGTTTTTTGCCCATCTTTTTTTCTTTTCTCTACATTTTTCCCATATCTTTAAACCAATTCCTTGCTATCTTATATTCCTTCACGAAGTGATCTATACTATCTCTTCCTTTCTCTTCACTTTTTGTCAAATCTTTAAACCGGTCAGACGACAATTTCCCGAAAAGTGGAGAAGATAATGTTGGTACCAAAAAAATCTCTACACGATATAATTTAATGATCTGTTCTTTAGTGTAACTGCACTGCTGAACTAATGCAAAAAGTCAGAGTGAGAAAACATACTTGTCTCACTTCAATTCATTGCATCAGCAGTGCAATTACAAAGAATAAGCCTTTAAATTATATCATGTAGAGATTTTCCTTGATACCAACATTATCTCCTCCACTTTTCGGGAAATTGTCTATTTCTTTGCTTTCTCTTTTTCCCTCCATAATTTACTAGTTGCCCATCCTTTTTTCTTTTCTCTTCACTTTTTTCTTCACTTTATTAACCTAATACTAACCAATATTTATTATTTTCTTCCATGTTATCGCATCTTAAAGCTCTAATTCTCATTCCTTGTCCTTGGTTTACGAAATTCAATATTGGAAATTATTCTTCGATTATATCGTGCGTTTTTAACGTAGCGTGGCGTTGGGTTTAATTTTAACGCCCTCTGGTCGCCGTTATATAACGTTATCGTAAACAATCCTGTACACGTACACGTGCACACGCGAATGGGGTTGTCACGTACACGCGGTAGCGAAAGTGTTAAGTACTGAAAGCGATACTGAAAGACTTATACTGAAAGGACGACAGCGACGGAGATGGCTGTGGCGCGGCGAGGGACGTTTCGTGAGAAGGAGAGAGAGAGAGAGAGATCCCGATATAAACTCACCTTGAAGATATATACGTAGTACGTCGGGGACTCCGTGAATCGTGCACCGCGTATTGGCCACTAGCTCCGGCATAAGAGTGCGTATCTGATTGACACTCACGTCGGCCCAACACAGCACCGGGAAACCGCGAAAGTCGCGGCCGGACAACGTGACCAAGCGATTGTGCGACGCGTTCAGCTCCTCCAAGGATGGCAGCCACGTCTGCAACGACAATCGATTATTCTATTCCTTCGCAGTTTCTCTTCCAAGGGAGCAAAAGAGAAAAGGCGATTTTCTCGTTAAATTCTCGTAGAAAGTTTGATTATTAAAAGGAAAATGGGAAGTGTTCGTTAGATGTCTAGAAAGATACCGAATTGTTCATTTTGTTCGCAAAAATTATTGATCCTTCGAAATTGTACAATTTCATTTTCTATTTTATTTGAGAAACGCGACGACTTTTGTACAACAACTTAATAGATATAGAAAGAGATAGAGAGAGAATAAAGTGTGTTTAATCTACCTCCGAGGTATCCTCAAGCGTAGTGAGCTGATTGTGCGAGATATCAAGCACACGCAGCCCGTCGAGACCGTGCAGGTCGCGGGGCCCGATCGTAGGACCCAGCGCGTTGTGACTGAGGTTGAGTCTCTGCAGCTCCTTCATACCGAGGAACACCGAGCCGTCCAAGCTGCGCAGCTCGTTATGCTGAAGGCATATGTCCTGAATGTTGCCGCCTGCAATCTCCTCGCCTTCCTCTTCCACGAGATTCTGCGATAAAGAAGAGCGCGAATCCGAAACAAATCGTTCGTCATCGGATTAGTCATTGTCGAGCCTCGGTTCAGCGTCTTCTTCGATGCTAAGATACCTACCTCCGAGGAAGACCTGCCCCTGTGCAGTCTGGCGATTCGGTTGTTCGACAGGTCGAGCAGCCTGAGCTCGCGTAGACCGCGCAAGGACGTCAGGGAGAACTCGCGTAGCTCGTTGTGCGTCAGGTTCAGACACTTGAGTGACCTGAGAGGGTAAAGGGCGCTGCTACCGTTCCCGTCGCCGTCCGCGCCGCCAAGCGATTTGAGGGAGTTGTGGCCGAGCTCGAGGTCCTCCAACATCTCGGCTTCTATGAAATCGTCCGCGTTCAACTGAGGGGGCACAATTCAGCGTCCGTTCAATTTGCTATCCATGTGTGATCGCGAGGCGTGATTAATTCAACGACCGACGACGATGACGACAACGACGACGACGACGACGACGATGTGTCGCGTGCGAGCGAGTGAGACGCACGAAAATATAAGACAGGAAAGTCTAGAGACGCGCGAGAGACGTCTGTTCAGCTGAGAAAGAGAGAGGGAGGGAGGCTTGAGATCCTTCCGCCTGGCGGAAGGCGGCAATAATTACGTTACGTTGTGGTAAATTGACTCAATGTACGGCGCGCTTTAGCGCGAACGAACGCCTCGACTCTGCGTCCGGCGCGTCACGGCGCGTTAAAGCGTATCAACGAGAGCACGTGCTCTCCGAATGCGCTCGCCTGACACACGACGTTCCGCGAGTTTGTCTCATCCTCAATCGATCTGCTCCAACAATCCCTTCATTGATTTTGACACATTGTTCATCGATATGGTGTTTTGATGAAAAAAAAAACGAAAGAAGCGATCGGAAACGAACAATGTTGAAACAATGTGCCGATGTAGACTTAAGCCCGTATCAGATTGCGGACTGAACAGACCAATCTGCTACAGTGAAGCAGCCTCACTGTGGTTGGTCCACTAAGGACCGGTTGTTCCAACTTCTTGGTAAGTTAACTGATAGTTTATTCATATGTCTGTCTTTGTTCTTCCTTCAACTTAGACAAACACATGATTTAACTATCAGTTAACTTAGCAAGAAGTTGGAACAAAGACCCTAAGAGTCGGCAGTTAGGTCGGCCTGTCCAGTCAGTAACCTAATACGGGCTTTACATGGAAAATAGCCGGTGCAAAATAATAGACGGCCATTGACGCTTAAAATGGCCAGTCAACAATGTGTTAAGGAGGGTTCGTTTATTCAAAAGAGGGGACTGATATTCTCCTTGTGTCCGCTGAGACATCGCGAGCGAGCGAGAGCGGACAAGACCCAGCAGCAGACACAGCTGAAGACACGTTGAGCGTTTGTTTGCGCCCCGTCCTAAAAATCGGGAACGGGTATTTAAAAGGCAAGTTTAAAAGCTCCAGTATAAAACACAAGGGTCTCTCTTTTTCTCTCTCTCTTTCTCTCTCTCTCTCTTTCTCTCACGCACGCGCGCGTGACGTAAGCGTCGCGGGGCCAAATACCTCTTGCAGCTCGTTGTACGAGAGCTCCAAGAACTTGAGGCCCCTCGCCTTCTGCAGAGTGCCGTCGAGATTTCGAATCTTGTTGTGCTGGAGGAAGAGGCTCTCCAGACGATGGAGGTAACGGAACTCGGCCGGCAGATGCGTCAACTTGTTATCCACGGCGTAAAGCATCTTGAGATTGTGTCCGGAGGACGGTAGCTCGCCGTCGAGTGACGTGAGCTCGTTAGCATTAATGAACAACCACTCGAGTTGATTCAGATCTCTGCAAGCAATACGTGCGAGGGTAGGCACGTGGCTAAATCCACGAAGAAAGCGGCAGGAGGGAGGCGGGAGGAAATCCTGTTTTACGCACGTTCGCTAAGAGCTCGATCGAACGCTCTTTCTCTCGCTCTTCCTCTTCGCGAAAGAGAGAGATCGAGAGAAAGAGAGAGTGATTTCATCCCGTCGGATCAGTCTTGAGAGTCCGAGTTTCAGCAATCGGTCGACTCGAGCACGCGGTTTCCCCGCAGTCAGCGATTTGCGCGCGTGTCACCGCGGGCCGCTTCGCGTTGCCTTGCGAGATGATGTCAACGGAGCGAGTTTGATAAGAGATACCGCTAGACGATAGTAAACAGCAACATGTACGTACGTAAATGAGAATTAGTCGCGAGAGTTGGTTCTGCGAATTCCTCCGCTGAGATTTGCGAAATTGCCGCGTGGGAGTGAGGGAGATGGCAAAATGGGAAGTAAAAAACGTCGATCGTACCTAAGAGTGCGATTCAAGCTGTTCAGGTGATTTCTGCCGACGTGCAGGTGCTTCACTAGCGGCGGCAACGAGCCCGGGGCCATCTCGATGATCGCGTTCCCCGCCATGGACAAATGTTGCAGCATCGGATTGTACTGAAACAAAGGAGATATCATGAAATCGTGATGTTACGCAAACTTTATACAATTGTTCTATGAATTTTCTCTTGAATTTTCTTTTTTCTTTTTGATAAGTCACGATCGATACAGAAATAGAAAACCTAATAGATGCGTATCAACTTTTTCTAGAAAACTCTTCTTTTAAAAAAACAGTTATCGTTCGCGTTCACCCACGTCCATAATCCACGTTCCATCACCGATCTTCCGGTAGTAAGAACGCTAATTCGAAGGCGCAGTAAGCCTTCGAATTGGCGGACAGCACAAGCGCGAGATTCTCTTCGCCGGTGATCTGAAACGCGAAAACTCCAGACCACGTGAACAATAAATCATTTACGGCACGTGGCTGGTCGCGTGCGTCGTGGCGCATCTCGTCTCAACGTTCTCGCGACGTCAACATCAACGCGACCTCGCGCGAGTTTTCTCGCGGCTCGTGCGAATCTCAGGCGCGGACCTAAGTCCGATCCGCGCGCGATCCTCACCTTGAAGTCGTCCGAATCGATGCGGCTGATCCGGTTCCTGCTGAGGTCCAGGGTCATTAGGAGCGACATGTGTGACAAGATGTGCCTGGGTATCGACGGCACCTCGTTGTCCGCGAGGCTCAGGTATAGCGTCCGTTCCATACCGGCGAAGACGTCGCCGTCCACGAGCCTGAAAATCGTCACGTTTCTCGCGATGGTTCGGAAGAATGTTCGCAATTCGCGCACAAGTTGCGTGTTCCACTCGCGCGCATTGTATTTATTTAATCCTAGAGTGAAGGAGCATTAGCGCGCTGACATTGTTGGTTGGAGTATGCACCGGATAAGTAAATTTAGCATATAGTAATAATGTAAAAAAAAAAAGAAGCAAAGAACAATATAATTTTGTGTAGCATCTAGATGGGGAAATTGCCATACTTTAAAATAAGAAAATGAAGAAATAATAAGATCGAGAAATTATCGTGAAATAACAAAGAAAAGAAAGAGAGAGAGAGAGAGAGAGAGAGAGAGAGAGAGAGAGAGAGAGAGAGAGAGAAAAAAGAGACTTCTAATTGATATCATCTAATATTTCACAACTTTACACTTTCTTTGCTACTATGTTGCAGCGTTGCTTATCGCTCGTGTAATAAGCGACCAGGAGCCGGAGCTGGGCCAATGCTTTCGAAAAAGCGGCGACGCGCCAGTTGTTATCGTTCGATTATTCACTTATAACGCGCGTTGGCTCACTGCGCCTCGTTATTTAATTATTCCACGATGATAAACAACGCGCTGCTCGCTGATAACGCGAAGGGGTCAGGCACGATTAAGATTTCATTCTTGCTCCCCCCCGTTTCGCTTCCTTTCCCTTCCCTACCCTTGCCAGCCGTCTTGGCTGTCTCGCGCGAGGATACTCGGCGTGGCCGACGAGGAGACCATTCGCATATACCTCTTCAAGGACCGTAGGTTTCTCTCGCGCCTCCGTTTCTCGCCTTTCTCGCGTCGCGACGACACGCGCGGTAGGATCATCAAGGAAGACCGGTAGCTGGTCCTTTGTGTTGTCACTCTCGTAAAGAACGACGGCCACCGGACAGACGTTATTCCGAGGGAAGATAATGACACCGGTGCGCGCGCGCGCGGTGACGCCGGAGAGAAACTCGAAATCGTCGCGCCACGGCGCGGCGGCGGCGAATTCGCTGCGGGTCGATTTTTCCACCGGGAGCACCGAGACGATTTATCGCGGTTCATTCAACCTCTCTATGACAGTTGTCGTTGCGCAACTGGTATCTCCAGTCCGCCGCGATATCCTGCTTCCGATCGTCGCGGGCGATAACATTTAACGTCATCGGCCGCGTTCTCGCCGTGACGTACACGTACGCGGCGGTGGTCGGAATGCGCGTTGCGAAATTCGTGTACTCTAAGAGAAAAGAAATGATTCATCTAACTGAAATTACAGTTCTTTCCGGTTCCACAATCATACTTTTCGTTTGCTCCGACACGGAAATGCTAGCAATGATAGGCGCACAGGGCTACCGTAACTAACATTGTAGTAGAATTTAATTTAAGAAAATGGTTCCCACGACTACGATTTATAATTATTTCTCCACGTGATTATAGTTACAAATACCAGACATTCTTCCCTCAGTAGTACGGTACGTCGTAGATTCGTGTAAGAGAAGTCGCGCGCGACGCGCTGTTGTACATATCATGTACATATCGCATTACCTAATAACGTCGGGCGCCACGAAAATATACAAAAAATAAAAAGAAACACTCTCCCCCGCCTCGAGAACTGTCAGATACCGATATCCTATTATCGAGCATGTTTTCTTGACGAAATGTGCCGTTACGAATTGCCCGTCAGCGATTGACGTGGTTTTTATGATTTCGACGCTGATTTTTGATGAACTGTGAGATTTCGGCGCTGATCTCGCTCGCGCTGTTCATCCGCTTGTCTGTCTGTCCGTCTGTCGCCGTTCGGCTGCGTCTCCTCCGGCGTATCGTGCACGTAACGTTCTTCGTCGAGCGCGTTACACGCCGCGGAGCCGCGGACGCCTTCGCAAATACTCGTTGTGAGAATTAAGATCGTTTCTTTGTTGTACATGTACAAACGTCTCCATTCAATGTCCGCAATAGCAGACGATGACCTTTTGCAAAGATACTGGCCGCCGCCAGTAGTATCGACGTGTATGGCACACTTACAGACGGACTATACGCGCAGCTAGTTTACTGCGAATGACAGACGCGCGCGCGGCGTCGGCCTCCTCCCGTTTTCGTCGCCGTGCGACTCGGAGTCCGGTCGCACCAGCCTCTTGGTAAGTTGACCTACAGTTAAATCACATGTCTGTCTTTGTTTTCCCTTCGAGACGAACAAAGGCAGACGCCGTTGTTTTCACCGTTGGGAAGCTCACCACTTGGTTGATGCAATTCGGCCATTTGTCCTCCGGATAGGTCGTCCGTCGGGCGATTTCCCGGGGATTAACGGGGCGTCTCGTGAGTCCCGCGGATTTGACACATCATCGAGGCGCGCGACGATATACTGACCGAACGAAAGAAAGAAGTGAGGGCGAAAGTCGCGGACGATAAGTATCGCTATCTTCATACAACGCGACGTTGTACCACGCGCGGTGTAGTAACCGTGGTCAGATAGACGGCGATTCTTTCTTCGTTTCTCTCCTTTTATCGTTAGTATCGTATGCGTCGCGATATCTCCTCGGTCTTAAACGTATGTGAGGCATGCCAGGTCGAAATGTTGATTCTACTTTCGACCTCAACAGTCCATTTAACATCTCTCTCTAGTTTGACGTTCCAAAACCTCAATCAATTAATATCGCAATATCAATCTCTTTTGATTCCGTTTAATCTATCAGCTTTACTCAGAGTCTTCTTTAGAACCTACAGGTGGTGTTTCGTGCGTTTTCTCCCAGACAACACACATGTCCAAAACTGGGACATAAGACGTCTTTAAGACGTCTTTAAGTCGACTTTAATCCCTTGTCCACAACCTTGCTTTAATTCTTACGCCATAAGAAATTGATCAACCACAGTTGATTATTTTTAAAATAATCGACTGTGGTTGGTCAATTTATTACAGCTTAAAGATTAAAGCAAGGCTGTGGACAAGGGGTATGACATGTGGACATAAGACGTCTTTAAGTTTAAGGCTTAAAGATGTCTTAAAAAGATCTTATATCCCAGTTTTTGACATGGACATGTGCTATCTGAGCTGTTATTTAGAAGTCCTCCTAAGTAAGATTTCAGTTTCTTTGTGTATATATACTGATCCTTCAGAATGTAAAGATGTTAGAAAGTTCAGGCCCAAAGTAAAACTGAAATTTCGACTCGGGATCAGCTACCTTCCAACATCCTTGCGCGGCTATTGTTGGTCACAATTCCTGTTGATTGAATGTTTGAGAGCCTTAATACAGAATTTCGTTTAGTTACGTAAAAACTCGCTTACTTCGCGATAATACCGCGTGTTTTACTTCAATATTTCGCATTCAATTAATGCAACAACCAACTTACAGTGTACTATCGACAGGTAAAGGCCTATAGAATCAGTTGGAACAAAACGCAATGTCGAGGTGGACTCGACAACACGATCGCAAAGGGTTAATAATATTTTCCAGGAGTGTCGCGCGTTCTCGTGCAGCAAAACAGAAACCGCCGACCCGACGCAACGCAGCGGGTCGTCGCGTGATCGTTCGCGTAACGTTATCGTCATCGTCATCGTCACCGTGATCTCGCACTCACCCGAGATTGTCGTGGTTCAGGTACAGCCGGGTGATGGACATATTTAGCTCCTTGAAGTCATGTTGCGATATATCCCGCAAATTCGAGTGCGTCACCCGCAGGGAGATTTGCTGCTCGGGGGTGAATTTGCCGTGTAACGCCTCGGCCACATCGTCGAACGACTCCATCTTCTCGCACCACACCTCGATACGTCCCCTGTGGTGACCACCGCCGCCGCCACTTCCGCCGCCGCCACCTCCGGTCGCGGCATTGTTGTTCGCGTTGGCTGTTGCGGCCACCGGCTGCACCGAGTTGATAACGGGACTGGCATACTCTTCTTGCCGGCAGGTGCACGGGCTGATCTCGGGGCGCACGCTGCAGTGGAGGCTCGCGAGGCCCAGCAAAGTATAGACTACACTGGACATAGCCGTCACTCGACGTCGGGAGAATCGACTTGGAGAGCGATCGACGCGACGATTGGGTTGATTATCAGCCACGATCGCGACGGGCAACCACGACGACGCTGTCGAGGGGGTTCGCGAACCGACCGCGCGCACCCTCTTGCGCGCAAAGATCTCTCCCGAGTCTATGTCCTCTTCTTCCTCTCCTTTTCCTCCTCCTCCTTCCTCACCACCTTCTTCACCACCTCCACCACCTTCACCACCTCCTCTTCGTTGATGTTGTATGCACACGATACGCAGGAGTCGCGTGATATGTCTACGGTGAGATTCGCGATTTCAGAAATCGCGCGCGACTTTCTTTCGTTAATAACGCGCGATAATACGATGTCGCATAGCGTGATTGGGGGACGAATACGGCGCAGCCACCACCGTCGTCGTCGTCGTCGCGTTACGCGTATTACTCCGTTAGAACACTACTGCTACACACCCGATCCACACTGATCACTGGCAGGAACTGACACAGCGGAGGAGCGCGCGCGCTCGGGCACTAGCAGTGACTGACAGCCACGTGTTATCTGCACTGTTGCTGATCCACACCATCCTACGGAAATATAAGTTCACCGCCTCCCTCTCCCTTTTTCTCCCTCTTTCTCGCTCTCTCCTCTGCGTGCTGTGTGTATCAGACACGAAAGGGGCTTATCGCTGCCAATGGGCCTTCCTCTTGGCGCCACGGACGCGGCAACGGCATTAAGCCGCGGCGCGCAGCGCGAGACTTACTTATAGTCGCAACGTCGCGTCGGGGGTACCGTGGCGCCGCTCGCCTTCGGCAGGCGCGATTCCTCCGGCTCTTCTTCGCTCTTCTTACGACTCCCCGTCGTACGTTACGCGTACACGACGAGCAGGAGCTCGTCTTCTTTTTCTTACAGCGGCTCACTCGCGAGCAAGCGAACGAACGAACGAACGAACGGCCCGAAGTTGCTCCTCGCGCGCTCCCCCTGCGCGCACCACACCCCACTGTGCGTATTCTCGTTCCCTCGTCCCTCTTTCCAACCCGCTCTTGTTCACCTCGTGAACCTACCTACCTACCTACCTACCTACCTACCTACCTACCTACCTACCTACCTACCTACCTACCTACCTACCTACCCACTGCTCCTCGTACTCCTGTCGTGCCCCAACGAGCTACTTTTCTCTCTCTCTCCCCCCCTCTCTCTCTCTCTCTCTCTCTCTTTCGTTCGCCTCCCTCGCCGTGGATTATCGCGCTTATCAATCCCGGTCCCCACATCGTCATCGTCATCTCGTTGATGTTTACTTCTTTTTAATCGCTTATTCGATTATTACGGAAGTCTCGAGACCAAAGCGAGAGGTTTCTCTCTCATCTTGTCTCTCGAAGTCTGATCGTAGGAGGACGAAAACCGCGGGGATCGCGTTTCAATAGTAGACAAGCGGAAGATTCATCAACCTCCCTCTCCCTCCTCCCTCTCTTTTCTCTTCCCTCGGTATCCATCACGCTGCACACGCCGGCAGGCGGTGTTTGCACCGATAAGAGCGGACTGATTGCTCAACTTTTGACCTTTGCTTAACCGCTTCGCACGGTGCGCGACGTATGAAAGAAAATACGCCAGATAACTCTCTCGTGCTCTCTTTTTCACTGTTTCTCTCTCTCTGTCTCTCCCCCTCTCCTTCTCCTTCTCCCTACTGGCTTTTCTTCCTCTTTCCATCGCCATTGCTCCCCGGCTGCTGACCGGGAACCGTAAACGTTACTCCGCCACCGACGTTTCGTAGCGATAACGACCGCATCTCCCACGGCCCCCTCGTCCTTTCGTCTATCCGATCGACTAGTCGTAAGTTGTAAACTTGAATCAAATCGATATGCGAAAGATATCTCTTCTGTATTCTCACGAGCGTCAGATCCGTGAATTCCCGTTCGTGTGACAGAGAAAGAGCGCAGGGAATGTGCGCTCTCGTGTGCCTGATGCCCAAGGACTTGAATTTTCTCTGAAATAATCGAAGGCTTCAGATAAAAAGAGAATTAAGGTCGTAACTTCCCCCGAGCTCTCGCCACGTACACGTATGAAATCGTGTCGAAAGCGTGGATCTCGCAGATCACGAGAATATTCTCCACCGACGTGGGAAACATACATGCGAAAATTACGCGTCAAGTTGCTAATCGCCGAGAATTTCAACAGATGTTACCGACGACTTCATTTTCTCGTAGTGGCTCTGGAACAAGAGCTGGGGGCGTAAGTGCGGTTGCGCTCGCCGGGCAGTGCACGAGGGAGACACACGAATTTCTCTGGAATGCTGGTCTGTACGAAGCGGGCTGAAAGATATAGCTGTTGTTATTGTTGTCGTGGAACTTATGGCTCGACCGATTCATCTTCGACGACAATTATTAAGAACGGCGTCGTAAATTCGAGTGTCTCTCTCTCTCTCTCTTTTTCTCTCTCGCGCGCCCAAGCGCGTTTTCAGCGAGTGATTTATATAAAAACGGGTGCCTCAAGTAGCCCGGTAGCTTTTATCGCGAACACACCTTCCTTTTTCGTCGCTTTTCGATCGGACAAGAGGGACAGAAACCGGTATCATTTCGTCGAGTTAAATTTTCGATTCCTCGCGCACGCAGAAAGAGGAAGAGAGAGAGAGGAGAGATTCATTTTTTCACCTCGCCTTGAGTCCGGCTTTTAATCGTCCCGAGTAAACATCGAAATTATTACGAAACGCGAGCTTGGCTGGTATGTACGAAATAAATCGTAAGTAGCTGCGATTTCTTCTTTCCCCCTTCTTTCTTCCTTTCTATCAGAACGAAGGGCCGCAAGAAAGGCGTCGCCTTTCGTCCGTTACAAATTGGCGAGATAAATCTCCAACTTCTCACGTACGTTAATCATCGCGAGACGAGGCGATCGGGAGTACGCGTGTCCGTAATGCCGAGATCGTAAGTGTTCTATCAAGGGTTTCTCTGTTCCATCGTAAAATAATATCGATTACTTAATGAGCTCGCCGATGCGGCGGCGGCGGTGGCAGCGCTTCACGGGTCGCTTGTCATCCGAGTAAACGCCTCTATATAACGTGGCTGTTTACGCGGGTGATTTACGTACCCATTTATGTGCCGTAACTCGCCGAGAGGTATGTCGTGCAAATTCTCTCTCGCTCTCGACGCCACCGCGAGGGACTCGCTTCATATCCTCTTTAAGCTATTCCACATCGGCCACCGATGTATCTTACGTGCGCTGGCGCCAGCGGTTCGCCTAATCTCTCTCTTTCTCACTCACTCTCTTTCCTCGGCGTAAAGGGTCATCAAACCGCGGAACAACAACGGACAACATCGTTCCAATTTTTTCAGATATGTGTCGATCTCTCGAACTGAAATGAGGGACCGATCAAACGATCAAGCAATCGTCATTGCGTTTAATTTTGAATTTCTTTACTTAGATAGATATCTATTAATTCAAACCTACATAGATAAATATCTATTAATTCAAACCTATATATTGTCAAAAAGAGGATTTGGCGTACAAAAGACATTATTTTAGTCACACTCATCCGTCCACATCTTATATTAAATCTTTCTCTACCAATATTTTTATCCTAAATATCACAGCAGTGATATTTTTGTTTCTATTTCTACACTCAACTCTTTGTTTCTTATATCTTACAAAAACTCTATTTTACACCCACTTCTTTTTACACCTACTTATAATATTTCTTCTTTTTTTTTTTTTCTATATATATCTTTCTAATTTCTTTCCTCCCTTTCTCTCCAATATTTTTTCACTCTTTATTTCTTACATTTTAAAATCTCATCTCATTGTTCAAATATCTCATCCAATTCTTCATTTATCCATAACCAGTCGTTGTCTTTCTATCACATATTTTTGTGTACAAAAGTCTAACTTAAATAATCTTGCGTGTAATTTTGCGTAATTCATCATAATTTTTTCCAATTTCTTTTTTTTTCTTACATCCCCTTAATTTCTTGTTCTATTTACTTCTTCTATTTACTTGTTTATCGTGTAATCGCGATTGCGAAAATTGAAATTTAGAAGTAGAGGAATCAAAAGGCAAGAAAGAGAAAGGAAGGGAGCGGATTTTCTCTTTGTCTTCGCTGCTTGTTATCGCTCGTATTATCTGCCATAAACAGAGTAATACGGCAGCAAGGGAGACAAACCGAGAAATGCAAGGAAGGCAGGCAGGCGAGAAGCGAGGGCACGAGGCACGAGGCACGAGGCACGAGGTACGCGGACGAGGGGTCTAACTCCGCGTCTCGGTTAACGAATGCGAGAATGCGGCCTGGCGCCAACGCACACGCGGCCGCCGCGCCAGCCGCCGGCCGCCCTCGGAGGAGGCCGCGTCACGCGCTCTCGCCTCTCTCGCCGGCTCTCTTTCTCCTTTCCTCCCTCTCCCTCTTTCTCTCTGTTTAATGACCTTACCGGAGTTCAAAATACTAAACTGCAACCGATCCTTCGATTCGTGCGTCCGCCTCGCGTCTGATCCCGGGATACGGCGATGTGCACGCAGGGTCCCGTAACTCGCGGCCACAGCCGGAGAGAATGTTGGCGGTTCTGAAAAGAAGAAAGAAGGAATGAGAAAAAACAAAGAAAGAATGAGAAAAAAGGGAAGAAAGATGAGTCGAGAATGTCGAGTAAAGTTTTCTCCAACGCGAGGGTTCTTTTTCACCTTCTCATCCTCCTCCTTCTTCTCTCGTTCTTCTTTTCTCAAAGAGTACAACTTAGAGAGTCGAGTGATCGATAGCGTCTTCCTGCTTTCTCTCGGATGATCTTAGACGATCGTCGTCGCGAACACATTGTCTATTGTCGCGCGCTGCTCATTCTTTCTCTCCTGTCCTCCTCCTCGGCGCTGGCATAGGTAATATCGTATCTCACCGGAGCACCGCATAGCTCCAAGGTATGCGGGCGAGTTCTTCCTTTTCTTATCGAGAAAAGGAACGGAGCCGAGAAAAAGGAAGAGGAGAAGAGCGGGAGGAGAGCAACGGAGAGTGGAAGCAGAGCGAGGAAGGTAGCAGAGCGGGCGTCGCGCTCGAGTATATATGCACAAGATACAGGCGTTTTACACGCTGCATTGAGATATTGGGAGATAATCGGCCGGCGTGGGCGTTGAGGACGCGCGCGAGGAACAGCCTCTACGGCCGCGGTCGCACTGGAGTGTACGCAGCTGTTTGTATTTCTTATTCCTCGACGTAGCGACCGTTAGATGCGAGCTGATGGGGCGATTTAAAAAGAGAGCGTTGTCAGAGGTCTCCTCTGAAGCCAGTACTTCTCATACACAATCGAATGACAATATATCGGTGAACGTCGATATGACGAGCAACTATTAGATTAGTGCAAAAGATTTGTTATTTCTCTGTTAGATTCTCATTTAGAAGTTTAGATATTAAAAGGAAAATAGAGAAAGCTTTTGTGGTGTCTAAGAAAAATATTTAGTCGATATTTCTCATTTTATTCATAAAGATTATTAATCCTTCGAAATTGGATAGTTTTATTGTCTATTTTATTTGACAAACATGACAAATTCTTTGCATCAATCTAATACTACACAAAGGGGTGTGATTTCTCTCATATAAAGTAATAAATTATTCCTTCTTATCTCTCTTCTTAATTTTATTTCGCCTTTTAATCATATTTGCGTGCACTCGCGAACGATTTACGATCCGCGGCAATGCGTCGTAGAGGAATTCGAGCCACGGGCGCCATCGATCTTGCTCTCCCGTACGCCCCGCGCTCTTTTGTCGAGGGAGCGCGGCGGTTGCGTTAAAATCGTGCGTGTTGTAAGAGGGGCCGGTGTGTGTTCGCCTCCGCTTTTTCACGCTTCTGGCATCTGGCCCCTTTCTCTCCGTGTTCCCTCCTCCTCTCTCTTTTCGCTCGTTCGTTCCGTTTACGCGGCGCCGCGCCGCGTGGTTGACCGCGAAAGGGGTAAAAGGAGCTGCACGAGAGAGAGGAGGGAGCAAGGGAGTTAAGCACATACTGGCGATCTAAATCTAGACGGACGTCGTTTAAGGCCGCATCGTTTACCGTGTCGTGCCGTGTCGTGTAGTATCGTGTCGTGTCGTGTCGCCGCGAGTTTGGCCAGCTTTTCACCGTTCCTAAATTGGACCACAATGTAACGCCCGTTGGTGACTCTCCTCCTCTGGCGCGAACGGTATTCGGCATTCTCTCGCCCTCTTTATCTTCGCTGCTCCACTGAAACAGCCCGGACAACGGTCGTTAAACGAAGAAAAATGGAAATCCCGCGGAAAAACAGGAAGGGCGCTTTGCTACGGAACGTTAATTCACGCGAGATCCGTCGTGAATTTTTCGCGACATACATTATGTTACTTCTCCTTTTTATATTTTTCTCTTTCAAATAACTACATTCAGACTACATACATAAGATGAGTGTATACTTTCCGCGTGGCGCGGAAATTTCACGCTTTCTCAGGTCCAAGGGTGTATCGTCGCGTTCGAATCGTCGCGCGGACGTTCTCTCGCAGCAGATCGAAGTCCATTAAGGTGTTGGTCCCACACCGCGACAACGTTGAGAGCCTCTGACGAGTGTGTTTACGATGGGATTTAAAGCCGACTGGCTGTTGCTCGACCCGCCGTCCCCTTTCTGCGCGATGCCACGGCCACGAATCCTCGAACTTTTCATTTCTATCGCTCTTATTGGGCGCCTTTTTTTCTCGACGAATGCTGTCGGATGCGCGGCGACGGCGGCTAGCGAGGCGTCGTTTGGCGCGCATCCGTCCGACGTCGTCGCGTCGACTCGTGAAATATAGGACGGACAACTGCCACCGAGCATCACTTCCTGCACCGAAACCGAAACATCATTAACATTCCTTCACGAGCATTCACGGTGTACGCTTCTTTCCCTTGTATGCTACCCTCGAAACGCAATGGCTTCGCTTGCACGACAAGCGCAACGTCGAGTTTTGAACTGTAAACAGAGTTCCAACAATGCTTTTCATCAGAACATTTTGGCTCGGGCGCATTATATCTACATATTTATTTTTGTATCATGACTGTTGATTTAGAAAAGAATCAACAATTGCAACATATTAAATACATACAACGAATGTATATATGCACTGTTGCATACAATCATACAAATACGATGCGCTCGAGTAAAATTATCTTAGCCGACGATGAAAGACATTATTGGAGTCCTGTGTATCACCTATATTGTATGTATTGCGAATATATTACGAATGATAAATTTAATATCTGACGAATGTATCCCATAATGCTGTAACGCGACGCTCTCTTGGAAAGACTGTTCCCAGGCTGTCGACTGCATTTCACACTTGTCAAGTGTTTGAGGTTAAAATAGTTACGTTCAGCAGAAAAAACGCTTTGTGTGTGTGCTACGCTACCAGCATAAAATGCTTTATTCATAAGATTTTCTGCTGAATGACACTTAGCGATTTACGCTTTTCCAACATGTTTACTAAACGGTCCAGCATATTGAAAGTATGCTAGAAAGGATGGCGATCGCTAAACATGTTAGAAAAGCGTAAATCGCTGGTGTCGTTCAGCAGAAAACCTTACAACAGTTTCAAAGTTGCTGCCACCGTAGCGGAAAGAATTTATTTTTCTGCTGAACGCAACCAATATCTCGGAATGCATTTTTTGTACTTTCAAAATACAAGATTTTAAAACAGTTTCATGAAAACGGAGAATCGAGTTTTGCATTATTCACAGCCTTCACTTGCCTTCCTATCTCTATTCCTAATGAAGACGCGAGTGGTAACGATGAAATGACAGCAAACCCTTCATCAGTAATGCATAAGACAATGCTAACGTAATTTCCTTGAGCAAACTCGATCATAATATATACTCACCTTCGCGAGTTTCGAAGTCTTCCGCCATCTTTGGTGGACTCGTCCGCAACTGTGCGAGCCGCTGGATTCGCACGGCATGGTGGAGTCGCGTTTTACGTATTGTGCTACCATCTCTCGATATCTCAACGAAACACTATGGCCACTGGCGCAATTACGTCAGAGCCTAGTGACTTGGGGACAGTCATCGCCGGCGTGTTGCCACCACTCGTGCATCGTTGGTAAAGCGAATTCTGGGTAAGGTAACGTGTATAGTGCATCCCCTCTCGTCAACCTCTCCCGTCATTGCGCGACATTGCACGACGTTGCCGTAATGAGATTCGTGATAAAGGAAAGGTAACGCCGAGGACCGTGATCGACGCGAATACGAGATTAGTAGTGCGATATAGTGAAAGAGAAAGAAAGAAAGAGTGAGAGAGAGGGGAAGGAAATCGTGGATCACCACTTGGTTTCGGCAAGTTCGCATCGAACACACCGCGCACACGCACACACACGTATATACACACACACTAGCGCTCTCCTCCCCCACGCTCAGCTCCGAGAAACGGAGCTTGCGAACGTGCGCCTCGCGTTCTCTTCACGGTTGGTTTCGGAGTAACGTCGAAGGTGTGTGCGGACGTAAAGACAGTGTGCACTTTCCTCGCGTACGTTGCAATTGCTTGCTCTCCTTCGCGTGCACAGCCGAGCGCAAAACATAAACGCGACTCTGTCGCCGCTCGCTTCCGCTCGTCATACGCTCGCGATCGGCAATTCCGAATTTCCACGTCGAGCCTGAAGAGACGCGTACGCGCCGACCATGATCGATTTAACAGTGAAGACCTTGGATTCGCGGAATCACGTCTTCTCCTTGGAAGACGACGTAAGTTGGCCGCCTCACCCGGGCGTTCTCTATACATAAATTGACATTGTACTTCGTTAATTATTTTCTATCTTCGCGAGTCCCCCACGATAAGTGTATGTTGTGTCTCTTGTAAGGACACGGAAGAAGTTGCACGCCTTGTTTTGTGTGTCACAGTAACATGTGACTTTGTCTCCTAATTTGACTCTCTTTGTCCTCTATCTTTTTTCTACGAATCAAGCAACTTTGTGTCCGTAGCGGTATAGTTCCTCAAATCTCGCTCCGGAGCATTTGCCTCGGACATATTATATCTATATGCTACAACTCTTCAATTTTCTTTAAAGCAAATCACAGTCCGTGGCTTTAAAGAATACATAGCAGAATCTGTAGCTGTACCGGCTGACCGACAGAGGTTGATTTATTGTGGACGAGTGCTTCAAGACGATAACAAATTAAATGATTATGGTACATGTGCACATAATATCTATGCAATTAATATGAGGTCTATTCTTTTTAGCTGAACTGATGCTGCACTGAAACTGTGCATTCCCTTTTCCTTCCAATTTTCCCTAAATTATATATTTAGAGCGTTGAACAAAAAAGGAATTTTTCCTTTACTCTAACAATAAAAAGTACATTGTAATTCAGCTGAAAGGAATATATCTATGGAGTATAAGTAACTCATTGCAAGCACCTGACTTATTATAATGCATGACGTGATATCTGATTCCTCAGATGTCAATGGAAAAGTCTTGCATCTGGTGCATCGTGCACCACCTCAGCATGGTCAACGGGGAAACGACAGTGGCCAACAGGCGCAGGGACAGAACAGCAGACAACAACAACGATCTCATTACCGTCTCACGCGCGCTCAGATGCATGGAAACGCGATGTACCTGGGTGCTATGTCTGTGCCAGCTGAGTTTGTGGAGGGTCATGGTAAGATAGTTTCAATAAGTTGAGTAATAAAGTGAGAGTCCCAATTATAGATAGAGTCTCAATTTCAGGCCAGACTTGGTTTGCTAATTAAAGCTAATTAAAGAAGTACACATTATAGCGAAGACAGGAAAGTTCTTTTTTTTTATACTCCTTAGTTCTTTTACAATTATATTCCAAGGCTATGTTCACAAATATTTTTAATATTTAAGAAAAAATCTGGTATATATCAGTTGCTTTACCGACTCTGAAACTGATGGTGAGTTGTGTTACATGCATCATTATTCTATGTAGACTAAAACAATGTGAATATGGGCATTACTAACATAAAATTGGACATTGTTATGATCTGGGCGTATAATATTTGCTAACCCATAATTAGGATGCATAAATGTTCCCAATCATTTTTTTCATAATTTAAGACAAAATTTAAAGTCTGATAATTTTTAGTTAAAACTATGATGTTAGTTACTTATATCGATATCGAAATTTATGTAAATGAAAGTAATTTATGTAATTGAAAGTTACTCTAACTTTAAATATAATTCATAATTAAGACTGTTGCCTCAGTTAATTGATTTGCAAATGGTATAGGGAAAATTTAATACCATCTTGGGAATTAAGGGACAGATTGAATAAAAGGAAAGGTAGATACACCGCGTACGTTTGTCTAAGGTCCAAAAAATATACAGTCTGTACGTCATGACGATGTTCAAACAACGAGACTTCTCCATGAATAATCTAATATAGATATGGCACTCGCACCAAACCAATCGTGATTTGGCTCTTACAAGCCGTACTCTCTTCGCTCTAATATATTTCGATTCTTTGCGATTATCCTGTGCCTTTTAGTCTTATTAACGTGAGTGGTGTATGCGCAGGGATACCGCAGTTGAGCAATAGTTTATCGGGTAGTCGGTTGAGTCACGCTGGCCGCATGCTCGACCGCATAAATGAACTGATCGACAGACTCGATGATCCAAATGCGCCACTGCATCCCACACCGTCCGAAATGTCGGACTATCAGCAGCCGCCAGTGCAACAACATCAGCAACTGATCACGCAAGAGACGGACGTAGAGCAAGATGAGTAAGTTACAAGACGTAGATCAGAGTTTTTCTCTCTCTCTCTCTCTCTCTGGATATCGCAGACTGAGGATTGCGGATTGAAGATTGGAATTTAGTCACAGTCGGGACAAAAAGAACCAGGATTAAAATTAGTTGATTCATCGAATTCTAATCCGCAATTTTCAACATATAATCTTATATAGGCTTCATAGAGTCGAGTAAGTTTCTTTCTGCTGCTCATCACCAACTTACATTTCATTCCTTATTATGTTTTCAGGAACGCGGATGTTGCACGAGCTGACGGTAGCGCTAGAATTGCGGAGGCAGCCGCGGCTGCTATCACAGCAGCTCTATCCGCTGCTGGTGCACGTGCCGTTACGTTATTTCGAGGTAGGTACTTTCGCGAATCCAGTTTTGGTCTGAGGACAATATCCATGGTCCAATATTATGTTTTTAGAATGTTTATTATTTTAAATTTATTTGAAGATGCAGTACAGACCACATTGCAAATTGTTTGACTATATAGCATTTAAAAAAATGAATTTGAGGTGATTTTAAATATAAAGTTGGATTATGAATATTACTCTAAATAGATCTAACTATATATATGATGCGCTTGTCGCATTCATTCGTTATATCATACCCTTTGATGTATCCTTGATATGTAGGTGGCAATTATAATGGAGCAGAAGGAAGAACTGCAACCAGCGATGCGACTGATAATCAAAGCGACACTCAGCCACAACAGCAACAGCACCAAGCACAAGCAGCGACGGAGCAATCGGGGGCTACATCGAGCAACGCTGGACAAAACAGACGACCGCAGCAGCAAGAGTATTTATCGCTATTTACAAGTCTTACGTGTTAAATAGACGCCAACAGATGCTCGTTTAACCTTCAGAGGTTGGGCGGTTTTTCTGAAGGATTTTAAGTTTCCAATGTACAAGTTCCAAGTGTATGTCTGTGTATTGGAGGATGTAGTGAAAAAAACATGAAAAACATGTCAATGTTAATAGAGTTTAAAAATAGCCTTTCCGGTCTCTAAAGGTTAAATTTTCTTGACGCTTTTAAGATCTTGTATATGCAACGATGACTTGTAGTTCCTTTTGTAAATGCTTAACCATTAACCATCTTGCTTCCAGCCTCCCACGACCCCCGCAAATGGCTGAGCTATTGCAGAGACTGTACAACACCCAAGATCGGTTAAGACCGTACTTGGAGCGTTATTGCGTGCTCACGTTGGTTGATCCATCGTTACCGCCCGGGGTAAATAGATAATTTTCAACAATACATAATATGCACGCTTCTACTGAGATTAACCGATTATTGTTTAGCCTGGTCCGAACACTGTGGAAGACAGTCAGCGTATAGTGGACGGGGTTAGTGAGATTTTACACTACATGTCGCACACCTGCCACGCGCTCAGTGATATCATCATCGACATGAGCCAACCGCCGCCCAGGAATTTGCGTTGTAGACCGATAATAGTGCAGCACTCGGCTATCTTACAGCCTGGTATACCGATTCAAGTAGAGGTATGTCGCTTGAATATGTATGTGCATACACATACACTTGACTACCAGTTGACTCGATGCTAGCTGTTGCCCTACTCGTTACACCTTTCGCAGGCTCATATCAGTCTGAACGGTCGTGGTGTTAATAATAATAACAGTAACGACGAAACGCCAGAAGCCGGCAATCAGCAAGCGCAGGCGGACAACAACTCGGAATCGTCCAATGCATCACGCGTTCATACCGAAGAGGATGGTCAGGAACGAGAGTCTGATGCCACGACACAATCGCAAACTGAACGGCCGCAACAGGAGCAAGGCCAATCGCCCTTCGGTGCGTTTCACATTGCGATGCGCTCATCGTAAGTATCATATATATTTGTCGGAACAAACCTTACGGTTTCAGTTACAGTGTTCAATTTACCAAACAATGTGGAGGTTCTGATGGAGGTTAGTTCTGAGAGCAATATAGACGACGGAGCGAACAATGAACAAAACGCCGCGAGTGAAGGCAACAACGGTGGCAACACTCGTAAGTGAATCGGTCTTATATTACGCTTCACGAAACGCAAAACACGATCACTTGTGACACGATTTTGCTCACTTCACAGGTAGAACAGGCGTGTTTCCATTCGGTCCGGCTCCGCCGCCATATTTCATGCGGAATTTCATGCAGGCCGTCGCTGGACACATGGTACACAGTGGTTTCGGTGCCACGACCATAAACACGTCGCGGAGTTCACCTGCCACCACCGGGTCCCAAAGTGGTCCCGCGTCGATCGACAGTGGAAATGCAAATTCTGGTCAAAGTACTCAAGCACGGTACTATCCTCGATAATGTTCTTCAGTTTAGATGGATTCAGAAGTCTTTTTCCCGTAAAATATATACATTTTGTTCGTCGGCATATTTTTATTTTGTTCATATCAACATTTACTCAGTGTTTATGGGAAAAGAGATTCTTGAATATATCCAATATACAATATTATATCACATCACACCACACATATATATATCGCATCACGATGGCAGAATATAACATTTTTACGATCAAACGTCACGTGTTATACAGGAGCAACGTCGGCACTCACCCTACCACTGCGACGCAAACTCGAAGTACATCGCGGCCGCATGTGTTCCATCACCACGCTCACCCTGTGGGCCTCGGTATGAGCATTGGTCTGGGACTGGACTTTGATCCTTATCTGCCCTGCAATTCGCATCACGTATACCGTACGCCAACCAGCACCCCAAGCACCAACTCAAACGGCGGCGTGACAACTTCGCAAACAACGCGCACAACGTCTACGACCGCAGCGTCGACTGCGGACGCTTCATCGAGCCAAGCGCAAACCGGTAAGGCACTCTCCCTTCCAAAGGGAAGAAAGACTTTTCTTCTTTTCCTTTGCATAGACTCGAACGGATATTTTTCAGCAACGACTTCGACTTCAACCAGTGCCAGCGCCACTTCCACGACCGGGACATCCACGACAAACACGAGCATGGGCAACAGCAATCTTTTGGGGAGCCTGCTGCAGCAGATGGGTGCCGGCAGCCGTTCGCAGCCGAACATTATCAACAGTAACGGTAATTGAATTAATTAGATCTCGATATTTACCCGATAATGATCTAACGGTTTCGATTGTATTGCAGTACCGGAACGTCTCAGCAACATATTGCAGATGCTCGGGGGCCGTAATATACATGTGAGCGACAGGTATGTTTGACATTGACAGAGAAATCGCGGAGAATATAGCATCTTCACGATTGTAAATGCACTTCATAATGCAGTCCCATTCCCTAGCATGATGACATTTGAAATTTTCAGCCTGGCGCATCATATATGAAATATTCATGTGTCATTATTGTTGATTATTCGAGTAATCGAGCAATTCTTAGAATATTCAATAGCTATGATGCATGAATATTTTAAGGAAATTATTTGCGTGCTAAGAAATGGAACTACATTTATGAAGTTTGATGTATATATACATGTCGCTAATGTGTAATTATCTCTTTGATTAGAAACTCGATCAGTGACTTCATCTTGGCCGACTTGTTCGAGAGCGTTGGTTTGAACATGAATATTTCCCAATCGTCGTTGGACGCCAGAAGAGAGAACTTCCTTTTCGATCTCTTCATATTGGGGGTAATTATGACGTCGCTATTCTCTGTCTATTGCTTGCCTGTTCACGAACCTTCACTCAGTATTGAGTGCTTTCCATTTAATGACTATCATCCTATCCTACTCACTGAATATAACAGGATGATGGCTTGTATCGACTTGTGTTGCCAAATAGAAAACACTAAAAGAAGGAATCGTAACATGCATTTTGCGATTGCAGGCTCAAAACATAACAGTGGACGGAGTATTCAGACTGAGCTGCGGTGAATGGGAGCCCATCTCTCGTTTACGCAGACCATTGCAGGACTTCTTGTGGCACGAGTTCCCGAGCGCTACGTCGCGAAACGCTATACAAGAGCAGGTGGCTGAAAGTCTGCTCTCTCATCTACAACCATATCTCCGGGAATTTCTAGCGTTTGAGGAAGACGCCGGAGGCAGAAGCGACTCACGCATTGACGTCTACGCAACTATCGAATTGTTGATCGCTCGCTCCATAAAAGATATACTTAGAATTTTATTCGACACCGGTTAGTTTTTTATGAATCTCGGTAGTGTTTTCTTTATGAATATATTTTACACGTTATAATCGGATATGTGTTTGCAGCTTACGACGACAGGTGGTTCGCACAGGACACGTTGGACATCGTGAAAAATCTGGGCAAGCAATTTTGTGCAGTGCTACGATACTCTTTACAAGGTGGCCAAGCCGGATTAGAGGCGATTATGTCACGCTTTCTGGTTAGTTCAAACTTGCTTTAGCTCAAATACGATAATACAAAGCGAAATTACTCACAAAATGTCTGTAATTTACTTGCCAGAGCGACAGGTTGGAAGGAATCCCGTCTTCGCTTCGTCAATGGATACTGAACGGATTTATTGAACATTTCCGTACTTATTCCCTTCGCGCGCCGCAACCCACTGATTCGGAGATCGTCTCACTTTTGGTGTATAAAGATTCTCCGTCTCAACAGTCGTCGGTACAATCCTCTGCTTCGACCCGTCAGCCTACTCAAACGCCACCCGAAGACGAAGTAACTATTCCTTAGTCTATTTGCGCTACTATATGTTTTTTTTGTCTTTTATATATATATATATATATATATATATATATATATATATATATATATCAAACTATGTGTGTAGCCGATGGAAACAGAGACTCTGGAGCAACGGACGACGCGCGAGAGTTCGACCGTACCTGAAGACAGAGAGGAAGTTCCGGAAACATTCACTGGTCATGAAGCTTTACCCTCGGTATGACACGACGCGATTATGAACGGCGGCTTATCTAGTGTTAACTAACATATACTTCAATTTCCCAAATCAAACTTTCAAATCCAGTCTTATTAGAAAGTGAAAAATTCAATTGAATTATACAACAATCCAAGAGATTTCTGTCGATATTTTTCGACGCGTGCGGTTAAAAACAATTCAATAATACCGTGCTGTTTCTGAGAGCGCGACGTCAAATTAAAATACGAGTCGAATGCCACTTTTAGGATTGGGTGCCGATTATCGCTCGCGACGGTGTGAGGCAACGTCGTCAGTTGCAGATGCAGGGAGTGACGAATAGCGGCGTGACGACATTCAGTGACGCATACCTCGGCGGACTACCCACCAAGCGTCGTAAGCTCATCGAGCAACAGAAACCACGCCTGCTGGTCAGCCCCACACCGAATCACTCCACAATAGCAGCGTCCATGGAACGACTGGTGCGAGAGGGTGTTGGTCGCGCCGGCGTCGAGGAGGTTGAAGGTGCTGCTGTGGCTGTCGCAGCGGATCCCGCTGTGAGACGCGCCTTCGGTCAAGCAATCAGGGATTGCTTGAACCCGTGTAGATACGGCACAGCAGACTTTCCGGACCCACTGCGCTTCCCGAACGCGACCAAATATTTTGCGGATCAGGAGCGTCCGCCGAAATAATAACACGGTCGGCAGCAAGGTATATAACATGATTTGATTTAGAGATATGCTACTACCGAGAAAGAGAAGGAGGAGGATACATTAGGCTAATTCAATAACCGACAAAGGCTGTAGTCACATGAGAATCGAGGAGCTTCTCGCGCGGAGGCTCCTCGGTTTCCCTAAGTATTGTAATAACGCGCAGAAGAGAGATCAATGGGATGATCTTTGACGAACGTGTGTGCATGTGTGTGCGCGTCTGCTGTGTGAAATGTACGATCGACACTGCACGAATACGCACTTACGCATTTTCCATATCCCTCCTCGATATCAATGTTCGCTTCGATAGAAAACACCGTCGCTATCATACGGGGTTATTACGTTTATAGCCGATAATTAATACACGGGGTGTTCGTGGGATCGAACTTCCCGTCTCATTTTTACTGAGGGAAAGTCGACATCAATTTCGCTATTTCGGAATTGTATAGAGGACACCCTGTATATATATTATATATATATATTATATATATATACATAGGTGTAAAAATTGTTAACTGTGCACACATCTATTTATATAATTTTTGCACTTACCACAACACGACATAACTTTGTTTCCACAACCTCTGTTTCTACTCGCTGGCTTTTTTCTCTTTTCTTTGTAATTTCTCTTTCATTTTCTCAAATTGGCCGTTCCGGGTTGCAGCGTATATATGCAACAGACGACTCGGGATGACTCCTAAAATAAAGGATAAAATAGGCTGAATTCGATCTGTCTTTCTCTCTCTCTCTCTCACACATACACACACACACACACACACACACACACACACACACACACATACACACCTTTTTCCGTAGAATCGCATTTGGGAGAACACTTTGCGTTAACGCGACACTTTATCGAAGTACGACGTTATGCGCGTATGTGAGCCTCACCGGAATCTTGTCGGATATTTTGTATAGACAATTAATTTTCGACGTCCGATGAACGATGCCCCCGGGCTGTTTACGGGACGGAGTCTTTCTATACGACGAGCGAATCGCTGGCAAATCTATACGTATTGACTAGGCGCGACTATGGTAAACATAGCGTACGTGGAAGTAAAAGTTAATCGTTCTAATGTCCACCAACAGTTGTACGAGGAAAGGAAATATTAATAAAATAAAATTGTGTATCCCTTTTCCTCTGTCTCTCCGTCTTTTTTCTCCCTTCGAGTGTCCCGAGCGATAAGATCGTTGGAGACTGAAACCCCAAGGATACCGCGCCGAGGAAATTGGTCCGAGGCAACGAGAAAAAATACGGTAAGTGCGGCTCAACGATCGAAATTAACGCACGTGAAATGCCAATGAGGAAGATATCTTTGTGAACGGCGTGACTCAACTGATTGACAAGTCGGAGAACACGCAGAGCGAACGGTAAATGAGAAACGGAAGTATATTTCAAGTATGACTCATCGTTACGACTCGGTCGATTGTGTTCGGTCTCATCGATTTCCTTTTACTTATCGCTAATTCGACATCGGATCGTAGATCGCGGCGATGTAATCACGCGGCGCCGTGGCGTGTAACATCTGTAAAAGGCGAGAGTGCAGCCGTTAGTTACACGCGCGACTGGCTATCACGCCCGTCGGAAAGAAATCGGACTCCAGCATCGGTATCCAGCCGCTTGCTCGCTCGCTTGCTGGTTGGTTGGGTTCGCCTCCTCCGCGCTGGAGGAGAACTGGATATCCTCGATTGCATTTTCATAATCGTTCGCGAGCCCGAGTGCGCCAACTGTCATTATCGACATCATAATCGAGAACCGTAACGCGGTAGAAAGGGGACAGCTCGCAATTTTTAGCTCGTTTGCCTCGAAGCGACTTGGGGCGATATCGCTGGAATTTCATTCGGCTCGAGTGAACGAGCGAGTTAGCGAGCCGTCCGTAAATTCGATTTCGATCGGCCGCGCGCGATTGACAGTAACGGATCTCTCTCGAGCACGGGTTTTCGCGACGATTCAATCCAGATCGCCGGACTGATCTTGGGAAAAATCTCCGATCGATGATCCCCGCAGTGTGTTTACAGCGTTCGTTCTTACGCCGAGGAACGAAGTGATTGAATTTCCGTAGAAGATATCTCGTTATCCCTGCGTCTTACTCGGAACTCTATGATTCTTATATATGCCGAACGAGCGATTCGATCGCGATCGATTGAGCTACATCGGGTAGATAAGCAGTCTTTAATTCGTCGGCGATATTAGCGCGCGATCGAGCGATATACGTGGCGACCTGACACGGCGACTACATATTCGCGCGCAATATGAACTGAAACGACCAGGCGGTCGTCGAGTTCAGGTTACGGTCGGGATCATTTCCTCTTTTTCCCAGACGAGATACAATGTAACGTCACGTAATATCTCTTTTCCGACCAGCAGAGGAGAGGGGGAAAGAGCGGAAAGAAGACCAGCAGAGGATGAAGAGGCGATCGTTACATGCTTGACCGAATGTTTCTCCGACTCGTCGTCGGCTATCGAGTACGAACATCGTCCAACTATTTCGAGATATCTGGAAAAAGAAAAGGCGTCGGCATTAATTGGTCACAGACCAACACGACGACACGACGACGACGACCTACGCGACGACAACGGCATCTCCCGCTACGACTTGGCGTTTTTTCGCGCCGGCTGCGCGACGAAGACGACGTTCCCGCTGCCGCTGGAACAGCCATCGTCATCTTCGTCGTCATTTACAGTGCCCGGAACAGGAGAGACCGACGGGAATACAACCCTATGTTCTTCTATCTTTGCTACTCGCTCTTTTTCTCTCTTTCCGAAATGTACCCTCGATCACTGTGCGTACACCACATACGTCCACATATACGTACACACTTTACGTACGTGCTATCGCGAAAAGAAGCATGTAGACAAGCATAAGAAAAAAAGATAATTAGGCACACTGAGAAAAAAATCCTTCATCTAATTAAAATTATAAGTATTCTTTTGGTTGTCTTAATACGAAAGTAGTAATAGTAATATATACATAAGGTTATATTATCATTAATACTATAGTAGAATTTAATAAAAGAAAAAAAATTCTTTTGACTATAACTTTTAGTAATTATTTCTCTACGTGATTATAGTTATACAAATATCAAGCATTTTTTCTCAGTATAGATAATACCAAATAACAGAACACCTTGAGATTATTCTGAACATCCTCAGAATGCGTTTTAAGATATTCTGATACATTCTACGATATCGAAGACATTCTAGTCACATTCAAGATAATTCTGAAACATTTTATGCTGTCTGGGTAAGTAAGTAGATAAGGTGTAAATAGGTAGACACAAGTATATATAAGTAGGTAGATAAATGTAGTAAGTAGATGCAGATACGTAGATATATGTATGAATAGGCAGACGTAGATAGAAGTTAGGTAGATGTAGGTTGGTTGATAGGTAGATATATAGATAGACAGCTAGGTTAATAAATAAGTAGGTAGATAGGTAGCAAAGTTATAGAGATAGCTAGGTAGATGTAGGTAAGGTAGGTTGGTAGATAGGTAGGTAGGTAGGTAGGTAGGTTGGTAGGTAGATTGGTAGGTAGGTAGGTTGGTAGGTAGGTAGGTAGGTAGGTAGGTAGGTAGGTAGGTAGGTTGGTAGATAGGTAGGTTGATAGGTAGGTAGATAGGTAGGTAAGGTAGGTAAGGTAGGTAGGTAGGTAGGTAGGTAGGTCCATAGGTAGAGATACGTCCGACGTGCACACAGTGTCCGCGCGGACTCGACGACCAGCTGTCGTCGGGTACTAAAGCGCGCGCGTGAGATTGGCCGGCGAGCCGGCGTTCTTTCGGTCGGATTGGCCTTTTTCACCGATCGACGACGCCTCTTTATTCGAGCCGGGGCGTCGCCGCGTATTTTTATGCTCACAGGTTGGCTACGCCGCGTCGAGCGCGATTCTTATAGGTGACTATCGCGTCGTCGGAGCTTCAGTCGAGCGGTCCGCGCGGACGCCGTTGTTGGTTGCTGAGACTGCTAGTGCCGCCGCCGTCGTCGTCGTCGCCACTGCTGCTGCTGATGCTGGCTGCCGTTGCTGCTACGAGGCCGAGGTTAAGACGCCTTGGCAATCAAGTAGAACCTCGAGCAAGCAGGGCCGGTTACGGCGCGCGGCGTCGCGTCGCGTCGCGTTGCGTTGCGACGGTACACCTGGAAGAAGAGAAAGAGTGAGAGAAGCGTACACGAAGGCGGCCATATTTAGAGAAGGAAATCAGCGAAGAGCATTTCGCGCCGCGTACCACCGAGCTACTCCTCCTCCTCCTCCTTCTCCTCCTATTCCTCCGCTCTCCTCTTTCTTCTTCTCCTGCCTGTTTTCTTCCTCCACCCTCCATGATGACGACGACGACGATCACCTTATCGTCTCGCTCTCATTCCTTGCTTCGATTCGACCCGTACCAGAGGCTCTTTCCGCAGCCCGTCGCTCCGATGGACTTGACGGATGAAAAGTAACCAGCCGTGTCTCTGCTTCTCTCTCTCTCTCTTTCGTCTTCGGTACCCTAACCCGGCGAATATTAAGGGAAATAGGGGACGTGAAATAAGTCGCGTACCTTTTTCTTGACTTCGCTTGTAACAGCGCCTCGGCGCTATCCTGAACGAGTAGTTTTCCTTCGTTCTCCAGGCGCGGATACGCGCGAAGAAATGCTTACGAATCTTTGCTTGCGCGAGCGTCAATGTATAGCTGCGTGCGTAATCACGCGCGTCGAGTTGCGCGAAAAGGGGCAAAGAGAGAGATATCACTGAGAAACGAAGCTTTCCGGGAGGGCGAGAGCTTTTTTGCAATCGGAGTTGCGTCGTTGCTACTGCTGCTGCTGCTGTTGCTGCTGCTGCTGTCGTCGTCGTCGTTGGCGGCGGCGAGCGTCAAGTCAAAGCTCGACGAGAGGGAGAATGAGAGCGGGAGAGAAAGAGAAGAGATTTGAGAGCTTTTTTCCGCGTCGCGCCCTCGCGGCACGTAACGCGATTTCTTCCTCCCTCGCGTTTCCACGCGCGCACACCTCCGTCATTTTCATAATATTCCATCCGGATCACGGCGGCTCTTCCGTTGGTCTCGCACGAAACCGCTCGCAACGTCATCTCGCCCGCCCGCGAACAGTCACCGACCTGAGTCATGGGGGAGACGCGTTCTCGCCGTGGTTTCAGCGCAACGTGCTTATCGCAAGCGCCATCGACGCGACTGGATTAACATAAAACCTCCGTGAAAATTCTGAAAATAAAAATCGAAATAAAAAAGAATAAAAACTTCTCGTTCCCTCCTCGTCTTTTCTCGTTGTGTGCGCTTAGGTGAAAGTCAACTGCTGCTTCTCGCACACGCGCGGATTCTTTTTTGGATCTTCAAACGGACTCCGCGCGGCTTCGTCTCTCGTAGTGTTTCCACTCTATTGTTTCTTATTTCTCGCGAAACTACCGAAGCGGAATTCGCGACAAACGTGACGCTCGTGCGTGGAGCGAGAAGAACGAGTGCCTGTCAATTCATAAGTCGAAGCCTCGTTCTTTCTTTCTCTCTCTCTCTCTCTCTTTCTTGCGCACGTACATTAGTCGCCTCGACAACATTCGCCGCGACGAAGAGGATAACGAGATCGCGGAAGCGGAAGTCAAGCGTCGTCGTCGTCAAGGCCGCAGTCCGTCCACGTTCGCACGTGCGAGCCGCGACAGTGTCGCTTGGCTGCCCTATATATCGCCGACCGATTAACGACCGTGCCAATTGGCAGGCCGTTACCGACCATCCGACAAGAATAATGCCAATTAACCGATAAACACGTTTTTCGACGAGCCAACCGCCGAGCGCGTATCCGATTCGCGCGTCGACGAGCTGACGCAACGCGACGAGAAGTATTTTGACGCGATACTTTCCAGCGCGAAAACGTGCGTCATTGAAACGAACGAGCGTATGAAATGTGCGAACAAACGTCTCCTCATTAGAGACGGGTTTGTGTAACTTATTGCCGGAATTTTGGATTACTGTAACCTACGGCTCAAAAGAACAAATCTTGTCCTTTTCTGCTTCTTCTTTTGTCTGTTTCTTCTTCTTTTTCTTCGCTTTTTGTGGGCAACTCACTCCTTTCTGTAACGCAACTCTGTGTTCAGCATTTATTTTTCTTGTTTTCAACATTAGATCCGCATTGGTTGGTCTTTTGCCGTTTTTCACGCTGTTGGCTCCTTGTAGTTTTCCCAACCGATTTCCTTGGACCACCTGTTGGAAAATATCCTTTGTTAGAACTGAATGTTTCAATTTGCCAGGTACCAAAGTGTCTCGGTCAAATACGCAATTGTATCGGGAACCTTCGATAATAAATACACACATATATACATATATATATATATATATATATATATATATATATATATATATATATATACATACATATATATACACACACTATATTTCCGTCGTTGTTGATTATAATGATTCGGCGAACGCTCGTTCTAATCTGAGGATTACCGAGCGCGGGATTTGCGGGAGAGAGGACGACGGATTGGCTTTTTACTCGTTTATATTGTTGTGTCGCGGGCATATTTTCCTCTTATTATCACGAGCGATAGCGATATCGCGTATCGCCGTTAGTTCTTGCGAAAGTATCAGTGCACGCGCTGTTGACACTCGTGCACTCGATAGTGAATGAGTAAAAGTCCCCGCGATATATCGCGATCCGGTGATCGGTACGAAAGTCCGTAAGCGATTACTGACCGATAAAAGAGGGGCACGATAAGACCGATAAGCGAGTTGTTCCCGCACCGGCAGGCGTAATCCCGTACCGCCGCAAAGGTCGACGGCGGGACGCACCCCGAAAGTGTATCGAAAACAAGACGCTAGAAGAAATCTTTCTCTCTCTCTCTTTCTTGCCGGATCGATCCGGCTACAGGAAACGTTATATATTCCGCACGCGGGGGGAAGCATCGCGCCTTGTTGCGCAATACTCCTCCGCGAGATAACAGCCTCGATAAAGATTGGTAGTGAACGCGCGTCGACGACGGCGGACTTCTCCTGGCCAGCTCACTCGCCCGAGAGAGAGAGAGAGAGAGAGAGAGAGAGAGAGAGAGAGAGGGGGAGAGAGAAAGCAGTCGGCGAGATACGAGAGCATTATCTCGCCGCTACTCGGACATTTCGTGCGCGCGTTATCTCTCGATTCGTACATATACCATCCTTACCACCTCCTCCTTCTGCTCCTTCTTCTCCGTCCGTCCGTCCGTCCGAGTGCGACGATGATAAGTCGCAGAATAGCGTGCGGGATTTCCTCCGCAACGTTTCTACGCCCCAACGAGGATGATGTCCGCGTTCCCACTCAACTTCCAAGTCTTTCCCGGAATCAGGATCCCTCTGAGATATCAATGTAGCTGTTGCATCGTACGAACGATTTGTTTCCTGTTGCATTAAGAAAAGAACATTTGTAAATACAGCCACATAGAAAAGTAATCACAAAAATTGTGGTTAAGGAAACTCCACATCTTTTTTATTACAATTTTACTACAAAGTTAGCGATAATAATCCGACACGCATATGACTGTTTTCATGTTAGCATAACCAATAAGTACGGAAGCCAGAAGTAACTGTGATTTTAGTTAGATCAACCATACTCTTCTCTCAGTGCAACGTTACTTATCATCACAAAGCACCCACGCTCGTTCAATCTTCAGTCCCAACTTCTGAAGAAGCTTGACCGAGTGGGCGCGTTTACTGCAACGTGTGCATGTCCCAGTCAGCGGAAACTTCTGAAAGGTATCTTGAAAACACTTTGAAGAAATCTGAAAAAAACATATTACTGTCCCGTAAGAGCCTCCGCACAAGAACATTCGTAACATGTTAAGTTTACGGATTTCTTTGTGCCTTAAGTTTAATTTTACAGATCATTGTATTGTCAGTACTTAACGTAACGTAACATGTTACGGATGTCTTGTGCGGAGGTTCTAAGTTCCTTTCAAACATTTTTACGACGTTGCTTAGAAAGCTTCGAGGTCTTTAAAAAGAATCCGCAGTTCAGCACATCGGCAAAACGCATCTATGTAACGTGTCTCGGACAAATGTCTCGCATGACTCGCGCGGGACGGCTTCGGGGGTGAAGACGAGCACATATCGCACTCCCCCACCTCGGAGCTCGCGACGCGGTGGCGCGCGTCTGCGGAATAAGCAAAGTTCGTGGAGCACGTGGAGGGCGCGCCGGGCGACACCTGGCGTCCGAAAGGTGGCGGGGCGAGCGCTCGCCGCTCGCTGTCCCGTGCGCCGCCGTGCGCGCTGTAAGCAGTTGATGCTCACGCGTCGGTGGGTACGTGTCGTTTTTAATGGTGTGTTCTGGTGACGCGGATTGCGACGATAATCTCTGGATTGCGACGAGCACGCTCGTATCGTCATCGTCATTGTGTCGTCCTGTACGGCATGCGTTACTTGGTCAACGAGCCGCAACAACAGCAACAATACGCAATCGTCACATTCACGACTGTGCACACTTGTGAAAGTTGGCAGTGTTCGACGGTGTGACGTGGAGTTTGTGTGTGTGTGTGTGTGTGAGCTGCTTTGCGGTCTGGTGTGTCGCGTGGGTGTTCCACACATCGAGGGTCTCGATATTCACGGCCTCCTCTGACGAGCCGAGGCTGTGATGAGTGCTTGCGACAGTGTTTATCACGAGGTGCGGTAGTAGAGAAGTTGCGGAAGAAGGCGTCGAGGTACATCGGGCAGGATGTATTCCACTGCCGCTGGTATCAACGCGGCCACGGCCGCTGGTATCAACGCGGCGGCGGCCGCCGCGGCCGCGGCAGCTGCAGCACGACACCCGGTACGTCGGATTATTGTTGTCCTAAATAAGCGAGTCATCGTCGCCGAGCGGACGGGTCCTGACAGAGCGTGGCGAATAAGTCCCCGTCTCTCGGAGTCACGAACGCTTTCCTTGCCAACGTGTACAATGGACACGTCACGCACGGCTTTGCGCTCTTTCTTTCTCTCTCTCTCTCTCTCTCTCTCTCTCTCTCTCTCTCTCTCTCTCTCTCTCTCTCTC